AGGAACCTATTGAGATCATTCCAAAAAACGATTATACCTGAGAAAGATGTGATTGGACTATTACAAATCCTAATAATGGAATCAACGATGATATCAAAGCATGCTGAAAACAGAAAAAGACTGGAAAGATGCTTATGAAAGACTTTGGATGCACCTATGAAGGTGATGCAAGAAAAGACTTTGCCATATAGTTTATCATTGAATGACTACTGCAAACAGCCTTCTTATGCTGAAAAGAAGTGCTATGCTAATTCTGGACATTGCTATTATCCAGACAGAAGATGACCGGAAAAATAAATAAAGGCTGATAACTGTCAACACCCAGCTGTTTCTCAAGATGGAACATGGTACTGAGAAAACCAGATTGACTATCAAAGCACCTCACAGTACAGATTGTTACCTACAACTCATAAAAAGTGGTTAATAGGAAGGAGCAGAAGAAGAGGAAAATAGATTTCCTACTGGAGTGAAAAAACTATCCTGGAACAATATTCTGTAACATTGAACTTTACAATGACATTTGGTGGCATATGAATTTGAATTCGGAAGAAACACATCAATTAAGGAAAGAAACCTTGATGCAATTAATAAATAATAACAAGACCAGCCTACTAAGAGCAGATGCCCTGCCAAGAGAATGGAATATAAAAGGCCAGCAAAATCTTTCAGAAACCTGACATCATGGGACACTTGTACTAAAGCACGATTTGCAGCTTTTCTTAAACTCTACATATTATGTACATACCTGCAAAGCAAGGAACTCCTGTAAACATAAACACAGAGACATTGATACAACAAGGAATCTGTAATGGTTCTGTTGCAGATGTGATCTACCGTCGTACTCCCTGCTCTTTTGGTATAACTATACCAATCAAAACGTTAAATGGCTCCATAGAATCAAACGACAAAGCATTCTTGCTATATTCTGGACTTCCAGGAATGTGGTGCATGGACCGAAAATTATAATTACTAAAGCAATCATCTATTTTTTTCCCTGTATCAGAAATGTGTCAGTGACAATGTGTAATATAATACAGATACTATAATTAATGGTATAAGAAACACATAATGTGTTAATTACAAAAGTGGATAGACTTTGTGAATATCTGGAACGCAATTGAAGATTATTGCTAAAATGCCATATGCAGCTGCAGTCTGGCCTACAAACAAATATATTAAACAAAACATACGTATAAGAGCATAATAGCTAATTACCCAGATAAATAATTGAATCATGATAGTTAAAGATCATATGATTGCAATAACAACTGCAATAATGAATAAGGTTTAAACTTTAGAAGAAAATATAAAATGTTTTTATTAAAACAGAAACTACTCGATATTCGTTTAAGTTTGCAGAGTATTATAATTAATATAAGTGAAATACTTCAACAGTTAAAATTTAACTGAAAGACAGGCAGAAACTTTACTTCAACTATCATAAAGTTTATTTATAATGATAAAAATATTCAGTCTGCCAGAGCTCAGGTCAGTCAATGGAAAGTAAAAGAGTATTAGGGATTAACCCGTCCAGGTGATATACATGATGATTTTGGAAATTGATCATTTAGGTCACCTATTGCAAATTGGTGAAAAGATGTCAAAAATATAAATTCAACATCCATACCACTCTATGTATATATATATATTAAAATACACGTAACCAAATATTTTATCAGTTTTTCAAATACCAAGAAAACTTTATTTGGTTTGTGATGGTTAAAGGTACATAAAACCACTTATACAAAGGTAGAGTTAAAATATAAATACATTCAATATTGTATCTGAGTGCTTTCTTAACTCACTTTTATAAATAATAAAAAATCCAAATCATCTTAAGCTACACCCAACAGCCACTGGAAAGTATACTTAAACAATTAAGATTCACATTGTTAAGCATCCAATCTCACGAATGTAACTTTCCACAATGGCTGTCAGATCTTGGTAAAAAAAAAAAAAAAAAGAATAATGTTTTCTAAGACAATTTTGGGGTGTTTCTGGTATTTTAAGCCACTACTGACTGTAGTTATTATATTTACTAATAATAACTTAGGGAATAAGTTGTCTTCTCCCTAACAGGACAAAGAAAGATAATTAACGTCATATTTCCAATTAGCAACTATTTTAAATATATTGAGAGATTTTGAATAAAGGAGTATTTTTAACATTTAAAGAGAATGTAATTTTACATACCATTGTGAACAAAGGCGGTAAATACTTTGCTGCTTCAAATTATCCTTATATCTCTAAATCATATACAGGGGTGTTTATCTTTAAAACAAAACACTAGAAAGATTAACTATGTTACTATTTCATCTATCATTATTATACAAAGTATAACAAATGTAAAGATTTTTCCACAGATTTTACCTGCTAACATTTTTAGCACAACAGCACCTGATGTCAGTGAGATGTCTATCACTGAGATGTTACAAAGATTCCAATACAGCAAAAAGAGGCGTTCCTGAGAATCCACTTCGATTGCTGTATCAACATAACATTTACTATAATGGGATTCATGTCACTTAAGACAATGTCTTGGAAATGCTGTCAATTAATGGATTCCGTAAAAGAATATTGGAGAGTATCCAATCTATACACATCATAAACGGTGTAAAAATGTTTCATGGAAAAAACAAAATAAAAAAAGACAAATACCAACGCCATCACCACGGTGATAACAGATGATGCTGATCAATATCCGCAACCAATTCTAGCCAAATATTTGGAAAGCTGGACTCTACAACCTATACTCTACAACAAATACCCGGGTATTCTACAAACACAACCTCCAGCAATGTATCTAAGGAATGTAAACTTCTACAGGCATTTAAAGACTTTGGATTACAAATACAATTACTACTTTTAATTTTGGATTACAATTCGTATCCGGATCTATCCAAGAATATCTTACTCTGGAACTTGGTGTTCTTTTCAATTCTTTCCCAGACAAAAGCTTTGCTCATTTTAATCAACCACCTTTACAGGCAAAGATCACACTACGGATATTTTACTGTTACAACAATGATCAAAGATGCTGGGAGCACAAAAAACCTAAAGACAGTTGGAGAACTTTGGTTTACTAATTTAAGGAAGAAATGCGCTACAATGCCCACAGTTTAATGGAGAGGGTGTTACGGGCAAATGCAAATATTACAAGTTTTAGAATGAAATGTTGTATTTCTTAAACTGTGTACTTTGTCTTTAAGAGATATTGCAAACTGACAAGGTGTTAGAAATGGAACATATTGTTTTTCATAACTGTTTCTTTAAGCAATAACCTCAGTGCATAATATGTTTGCGCCATTTTGTCCCAGACGAATTACAATAACAATAATGCATAAACAAGCTTCAAGGCTATGCTACGACTCTTGCAGTACACAATATACTGTGGTAACCCCAAGTTAATGGAACTTCCCCAAATCCGGGAATCTCCCACGACTGTACACTTACGACTTAGTATAAACAACAGATAACCTATTCAGACTTTAAGATGCCATCTTGAATTAAGTCAGGAAAATTTCCATGACGTATACACCCTTTAGTTATGGCCTTGTATGTTTGCCAAATTAAGGGAGGTCCTAAATTGAATAAAGTAAAAGAAGTGTTACTTTTTCATATTTGAACTACAGTAACCTAAAATGGAGACACCTAAGGTATAAATAGGTGTACTTTTAAATGTTAAGACACAGAGGAGAGACTTGGAGACAGACGCTGCTCCATCTTAAAATGACAGAGAGGCTGACATGATGACATGTTCAGAAGGGTATGTTAACCTATTAATGATATTTGCAAGCATGTAATTTAATCTTATAAACTCTGCTATAATGGATTTTATATTTTTATATAATAAATATCCAAAAAGACAAAACGATTGCTTCCAAGACAATCCTTATTTTATATTGTATTCTCAATTATTTATATATGTTAAAGAGAAGATCTCTTACACTATATAAAATTATGGCTAAGATATCTGTATGGTTAGCCCTACTAAGTTCTATGCTTTAAGACATTATAGTGGTAAATAAGGGAACCACAAACGGTTACACTACGTAAAATATATCGTGTTAAAATACTTATTTCTGTTATATATTATATAACAATACATATACACGCTGCGTAAAGTATATCGTATTAAAACACTTCTTTCTGTTATATATTATATAACAATACATATACATGCTGCGTAAAGTATATTGTGTTTAAATACTTCTTCCTGTTATATATTATATAACAATACATATACACGCTGCGTAAAGTATATCGTATTAAAATACTTCTCTTTCTGTTATATATTATATAACAATACATATACACGTTAGGCATATGCATGGGCAAAGTATTTGGTTAGGATCGGTTTGGAAATTCAGGTAAGTAAAAAAATTTGGCATTTCCGAAATTCGGAACTTCGGCAATTTGGAACTTCGGCAATTCAGAACTTCGGAATTTGGAATATCTGTAGGGCTCACTTACCCTAACCCTCCCCCTACCCCTACCCTTAACCGTACCCCTAACCACCACTTACACATCTATCGGGCTCCCAGTGCCAGGAATTAGCAACATTCATGTAATTTTCACTCCCTCTCTTGTTTTGCCACTTTTCAGAAATCCGAAGCACTTTGGCAATTTGGCCCTTCGGCCCTTTGGCAATTCGGAAGCATCCAAATGTTCGAATAGCCCGAAATTCTTCAGATTTTGCATTCGGAAGGAAACAAATTGCACATGTCTAATACACGCTGTGTAACGTATATCAGGTTAAAAATACCTCCCTCTCTGTTATTAAATATTATATAAAACATTATGTTTAATACGTGTAATACAGTTCACATATTATATATCAATATATTACATACTATATAACATACACGCCTTGAGCCATTTCTTTATTTTATAAATGATAACCTCATAGTTTATTTTATGAGTTAATTTTTTATTTTTTAGGCATAAATTATATTCATGATTTACATATTATTTTACATTCAATATAGATATTACAATGCATTCAATATTTATCATATAAATTGAATCTTACAATAAAACAAATGATGGATAGAATAATCCATAAGAAGGCTCCGGGTAGGAGATACAGACAGACATTTTCTGGTCAATCTTCCCTCTGATTGCTTAGAAAGTCCCTGACTTGTGACGGCTTGCACACATAGCGGGCTCTGAGACTCTAATTATTTTATCATAGAATATATAGAATACAGAATATATATTTACTGCACACAATGTAGGGGCAACTATTAACCGGCTGCGAGTGAAAAAATAATCATGAACGTTTAAACTAGTTGAAGAGAATTTGCAACAATGAAAAAAAAACTCAAAATAATGTATCTACAAATATTTCCATAGACTTTAACGTCGCCTTCAGTAGATAAATCATTTAAAAATAAAATGTGTTTATTTGGATTTTGACACGAATCAGGAAACTAGTATTTGATAAGATAGCTCTAGTTGGTAAATAACTTTGCACTGTCATAATATTTATTAGCAGACTTCCTATCTGATTATTAAATCACTCCTAGTGCAAAATGATCTTAGAATTTCTTTTTTATTATTTGCTATGACCTACTTTTTTTTTGCATTTTATTAGTACATGGCTTCCTGAACTTTGGGCAAAATTAACCCATGATTAACAAACGTACTTTCTTGTCCTTTAAAATGACCCTGCCAACATTCTCCTACGTAATTAACATACACATAATCCTCTGCTTTCAACCTGTTAACTGGTTTGGCACTGCCTGGGCTGACAGTAAATTCATTACCGACATGGTGCAGATTTATTAGCAGAGAACTAAGTGGTATCTTTTTGCATAGTGTTTTAGTGTAAATATCAGCGTTTTTGGAAAATCTAGAATTATATTGATTTCTGCAATTCACAACAAGAGCCTTGTCAGCCTGGCAGGTTGAATGGACACAGTTTATTTATTTATTTACACATATTTCATAGTATTATAAAAATAAAAGCATTTCTATTGCACACGTCCCGGGGATGCAGTGTTAACATTCAGACAGTTTGCTTCGTTCCAGCTACTGCAGGTAATTTTGTAAAATTTTGTTACGCAGCAAATCATCGAGGAAGATCATAAGAGCCAGACTGCAAAGAAAATAGATTACAGGTGGATTAATGACAGGTAGTCTCTGTGATTGCAAAACTTCACACTCAAACACATTACTGGGAGTAATATTGCTGTGGAGCTCTGTTATACACTCAGACACATTACTGGGAGTAATATTGCTGTGGAACTCTGTTATACACTCAGACACATTACTGGGAGTATTATTACTGTGTAGCTCTGTTATACACTCAGACACATTACTGGGAGTAATATTGCTGTGGAACTCTGTTATACACTCAGACACATTACTGGGAGTAATATTGCTGTGGAGCTCTGTTATACACTCAGACACATTACTGGGAGTAATATTGCTGTGGAGCTCTGTTATACACTCAGACACATTACTGGGAGTATTATTGCTGTGGAGCTCTGTTATACACTCAGACACATTACTGGGAGTATTATTGCTGTGGAGCTCTGTTATACAATCAGGTTTATAGAGTTGTGGTAGTTGTGGTGGATAGTACACCCCTGCTGCACAATGTTTATATATGCTCATAAAGGTGCCTTTTAATCCAGCTAAACAACGTAGAGGCCTGCATGTATTTATATTATCTTCCTGGCAAAACACAGACATTTCTCACTTATGTCGTGGGAATACTTTGAAAAATAAAACCAAAAGATTATCAAGCATCAAAATATTGCAAATTTGTATGTCAGAATAGCTAAAAGGGAACAATTCAGCAACATCTCTGAAAAAATATACCAGCTGTGTTTACATATCAGCTGCTCGAACAACTTTGTATTCAGAAAATTCAGACTGTAAGGATTATTCACCACTGTGAGAATACACCAACTGGAAAACATCTCCAGACCTTCCATTTCGTCTACTTTGGCCTCAAATTTACATTCACTTTAAATTTAGATTTTAGTAAATAAGCTTGTGAATAATATAATGTGATACATTATAGCAAAATAAAGAATATGTTTCCTGCAAAACATAGAGACAGTGGCAGAACTACTGCCAGTGAAGCCGCTGCGTCAGTACCGAGGTCCGCACACTGAGGGGGCCCATCGCGTGGTCCATGCACTCAGGGCCCCCCATGCTTGTTGCTGAAAAGGGACCCGGTAAGGAGCAGTGGCCCTATAATAGCACGATCAGGCCCCTTTCAAATCAGCAGCATGGGAGGAACTAATAGCCTGTCACTTCCTCCCAGAATTTTAACATATCCTTTCTGTGCAGGAGGGTGGCTTTCCTGGGGTCCTGCTGCTGGTTGAGTATGATGGGAGTGTGGGTCTGGAGCTGAGTCTCTCCTTGTTTCTCTCCCTCCTTTTCTGTTGCCTCCTCCCACTCCTCCTGTGCCTCATCTCCCTCCCGCACGGCTGTTCTTGTATCTGGGAGGAATGTGTGTATGTGTGTTTATATGTGTGTATCTATGTGTGAATGTATGTATGTAGCAGTGTATGTGTGTTTATATATGTGTATCTTTGTGTGTACGTATGTATGTAGCAGTGTATGTGTGTATATATGTGTGTATCTGTGTGTACGTATGTATATAGCAGTGTATGTGTGTTTATAATTGTGTATCTGTGTGTGTACGTATGTATGTAGCAGTGTATGTGTATATATGTGTGTATCTGTGTGTACGTATGTATGTAGCAGTGTATGTGTGTATATATGTGTGTATCTGTGAGTGTACGTATGTATGTAGCAGTGTATGTGTGTATCTGTGTGTGTACGTATGTATGTGGCAGTGTATGTGTGTATATATGTGTGTATCTGTGTGTGTACGTATGTATGTGGCAGTGTATGTGTGTATATATGTGTGTATCTGTGTGTGTACGTATGTATGTGGCAGTGTATGTGTGTATATATGTGTGTATCTGTGTGTGTACGTATGTATGTAGCAGTGTATGTTTGTGTATATATACATCCCAACAATCAAACACCAACACAACATACAAAGACATCCATGCAAATGCAAACATTACATACAAACACACCGCTGTATTAAAATGCAAAAGTTATATACAAACACTCCTCCATTCATGTAACACTACACACAAATGTACACCTACACTTAAAAGCCAGCACTACATACAGACACACCCCTGCATTTAAACGCAAACACTACACATAAGTACACTACTGCATTCCAATGGCAACAGTACATACAAATACACCCCTACAGGCACACACATAATCAAAACATGAAACATAACAAAAACATGCTTACATTCAAACACCTAGTGCACATTTCATGAATTCTATATGAGGATGGAACTATCGATAATACCATTTGTTACGTTGGATACTAAGTAAGAAGTTGTTGTTGGTGGTAAATTGCTATGGGCAAGCAATGAAATGAAGTATATGTCTGGATCAGAGACATCTGTACTGAGAATGGCTGGAGAGATAAGAATTACAATTTTTTTTTATCTACATAGCTTTATTTTTTACATACGCTTACTCTAAAATTTGGTATGCTGACTCCAACGCTTGCTCCTCTCAGACCAGATTCAGCTGAACTACTGGCTCCACCCACAGCGCCGGCGCCAAACAGCCAGCTGAAGATTCCACTCTTGATTGCCTGTTTATAAAATGAACAAACAGGACAGAAATAATGATGCCAATGATGTCATCCTCAGCTGCAGGACTTGTATATGAACTCCAGATTTATCAAGAATGCGTTTAGGCCTCAATTTAATTCTAATGAGTAAAAACCTTGATCAATACGGACCGCTTTCAGATGATTTTTTTTTTCTCGAATTTCAGCTGGATTTAATGACTGTGAAATTCCAGCAGCCAAGCTCAATAAACAGGTTGGTTGTTGGAAAAGATTCCAATAAATGTGCTTCGGAAGCACCTTTCTCGACCTTTACTAATGACTAAACTTGTTTAACATAATAGTAAAGGGGAAGCTTTAAACTGCCTTCATGCCCCCACCCACCAAAACACAGGTCCATGTCTCCATTGGTTGCTCACTGTAATAGACGAGTAACTTGGCAGCTATTGCTTCCAGTTGATAGTAACATACAGGAAGGATCTGGCACAGATCCCACCTGTGCTCCCACCCATACGTGGCAGGTGTGTGCCCAATATTGCACACAAAATTGTCAACAATATCCACCCCTGTGGTAGCTAGGGGTGCCCAAGTCGCCACCCCAAATAAAAGTACCTTAAAGTACCTCAATAATACTGAGGGGGGCAATAAATCTAAGACGTGTAAAAATACCACAATGCAATAACAATAATCCATTTAGCCATCTGAGGGCTCTGTGTAGACTGAGCTTGCATGGCGGGGAAAAGTTTTATAAGGGCTTTCCAACAATAAAATACCAGTCAGAGAGTTTTGAATGATCGGGTTGTAAACCAACCAATTAGAGAGCTCTGACATGTAAGTCTCCCTTTTTTCGAGACTTGCGTTGAATTTTGTTTGGCCTGTTTTGGGGCTGAAGAAACAAAGATATTTTATCCAGGTGTAAGACTTTTCCCCACCATGCAAGCTCAGTGTACGCTGAGCGATCAGAGAGCTAAGTTGGATTATTGTGTTGCGTTATTATTACAAGTTTTAGATTAATTAAGCCTGCCTCATTAATATTAGGGTCAGGGGTCAGGAAGGGTATTTTTATTTGTGTGGGTGGCAAGGGGCTTGGGAAACCCTAGTCAATGGGATAGTTTATATCACTATATCTTTATCAATATTTAATTCCTGTTTTATGTATGAGAATTTTACTTACCAGGATAATTACTATAGGGATTGCGAGGACAATTATACTGAACAGTACAATGATAGCAGTTATGTAGTCAGATAGGGGGCTGCTTCCTGACACACTTGCCACGTTACTGCTAATATCTACAGGAAAAAAAAAATCACACATTAAAGGTATTCATGGAACAGTAATCAATATGAATCTCTGATTACTGAAACTTCACTACAACGGAACTATGGTTAGACCTTAATATCTGTATAATGTGTATAACATGTATAACATCTAGAACAGACACATTGCGGTCCATCTACTGTGAGGAGAGGACAGTACCAACTAGATACTTCTCACCAAGCACTTATTAATTATATTTGAAGCCCAGCTTGGCCTCGTTCATAAACTGGTTTGGTGCTTGATACAATTATATGAAACTGTAGAGATCTGGTACTACAAAGACCCACACTTTGCACTTCAGGTACCAACACCCCCCACTAGCAATGCCTATGAGTATATGAGTTGATTAAGAAATGACTTGCCTGCCACAGATGCTGCATCTACTTTTGTTGTAGAAGATGAAGTGGAATTAGTTGAACTAGGGGCTGTGAAACCCGTGTTTGTTACATGACTTGTGCTTCCTGTAGATGTCAGACTAGTTCCAGATGTTGGTCTTGCTGTAGATGTCAGACTAGTTTCAGATGTTGGACCTGCTGTAGGTGTCAAACTAGTTTCAGATGTTGGACCTGCTGTAGATGTCAAACTAGTTCCGGATGTTGGACTGGCTGTAGATGTCAGACTAGTTCCAGATGTGGGACCGGCTGTAGATGTCAGACTAGTTCCAGATGTGGGACCTGCTGTAGATGTCAGACTAGTTCCAGATGTTGGACCTGCTATAGATGTCAGACTAGTTCCGGATGTTGGACCTGCTGTAGATGTAAGCCTAGTTTCAGATGTCGGACCTGCTGTAGATGTCAGACTAGTTCCAGATGTTGGACTTGCTGTAGATGTCAGACTAGTTACGGATGTTGGACCTTCTGTAGATGTCAGACTAGTTCCAGATGTTGGACCTACTGTAGATGTCAGACTATTTCCAGATGTTGGACCTACTGTAGATGCCAGACTAGGTCCAGATGTTGGACTTTTGGTAGATGTCAGATTAGTTCCGGATGTTGGACCTTCTGTAGATGTCAGACTAGTTCCAGATGTTGGACCTGCTGTAGATGTCAGATTAGTTCCAGATGTTGGTCTTACTGTAGATGCCAGACTAGTTCCAGATGTTGGACTTTTGGTAGATGTCAGATTAGTTCCGGATGTTGGACCTTCTGTAGATGTCAGACTAGTTCCAGATGTTGGACCTGCTGTAGATGTCAGACTAGTTCCAGGTGTTGGACCTGCTGTAGATGTCAGACTAGTTCCAGATGTTGGGCTTGCTGTAGATGTCAGACTAGTTCCGGATGTTGGACCTTCTGTAGATGTCAGACTAGTTCCAGATGTCGGACCTACTGTAGATGTCAGATTAGTTCCAGATGTTGGTCTTACTGTAGATGCCAGACTAGTTCCAGATGTTGGACTTTTGGTAGATGTCAGATTAGTTCCGGATGTTGGACCTTCTGTAGATGTCAGATTAGTTCCAGATGTTGGACCTGCTGTAGATGTCAGACTAGTTCCAGATGTTGGACCTGCTTTAGATGTCAGACTAGTTTCAGGTGTTGGACCTGCTGTAGATGTCAGACTAGTTCCAGGTGTTGGACCTGCTGTAGATGTCAGACGAGTTCCGGATGTTGAACCTTCTGTAGATGTCAGACTAGTTCCGGATGTCGGACCTGCTGTAGATGTGAGACTAATTCCAGATGTTGGACCTGCTGTAGATGTCAGACTAGCTCCAGATGTTAGACCTGCTGTAGATGTCAGACTAGTTCCAGATGTTGGTCTTACTGTAGATGCCAGACTAGTTCCAGATGTTGGACTTGCTGTAGATGTCAGACTAGTCCCAGATGTTGGACCTTCTGTAGATGTCAGACTAGTTCCAGATGTTGGACCTGCTGTATATGTCAGACTAGTTCCAGATGTTGGACTTGCTGTAGATGTTAGATTAGTTCCGGATGTTGAACCTTCTGTAGATGTCAGACTAGTTCCAGATGTTGGACCTGCTGTAGATGTCAGATTAGTTCCAGATGTTGGTCTTACTGTAGATGCCAGACTAGTTCCAGATGTTGGACTTTTGGTAGATGTCAGATTAGTTCCGGATGTTGGACCTTCTGTAGATGTCAGACTAGTTCCAGATGTTGGACCTGCTGTAGATGTCAGATTAGTTCCAGATGTTGGACCTGCTGTAGATGTCAGACTAGTTCCAGGTGTTGGACCTGCTGTAGATGTCAGACTAGTTCCAGGTGTTGGACCTGCTGTAGATGTCAGACTAGTTCCAGATGTTGGGCTTGCTGTAGATGTCAGACTAGTTCCGGATGTTGGACCTTCTGTAGATGTCAGACTAGTTCCAGATGTCGGACCTACTGTAGATGTCAGATTAGTTCCAGATGTTGGTCTTACTGTAGATGCCAGACTAGTTCCAGATGTTGGACTTTTGGTAGATGTCAGATTAGTTCCGGATGTTGGACCTTCTGTAGAGGTCAGATTAGTTCCAGATGTTGGACCTGCTGTAGATGTCAGACTAGTTCCAGATGTTGGACCTGCTTTAGATGTCAGACTAGTTTCAGGTGTTGGACCTGCTGTAGATGTCAGACTAGTTCCAGGTGTTGGACCTGCTGTAGATGTCAGACGAGTTCCGGATGTTGAACCTTCTGTAGATGTCAGACTAGTTCCGGATGTCGGACCTGCTGTAGATGTGAGACTAATTCCAGATGTTGGACCTGCTGTAGATGTCAGACTAGCTCCAGATGTTAGACCTGCTGTAGATGTCAGACTAGTTCCAGATGTTGGTCTTACTGTAGATGCCAGACTAGTTCCAGATGTTGGTCTTACTGTAGATGCCAGACTAGTTCCAGATGTTGGACTTGCTGTAGATGTCAGACTAGTCCCAGATGTTGGACCTTCTGTAGATGTCAGACTAGTTCCAGATGTTGGACCTGCTGTATATGTCAGACTAGTTCCAGATGTTGGACTTGCTGTAGATGTTAGATTAGTTCCGGATGTTGAACCTTCTGTAGATGTCAGACTAGTTCCAGATGTTGGACCTGCTGTAGATGTCAGACTAGTCCCAGATGTTGGACCTTCTGTAGATGTCAGACTAGTTCCAGATGTTGGACCTGCTGTATATGTCAGACTAGTTCCAGATGTTGGACTTGCTGTAGATGTTAGATTAGTTCCGGATGTTGGACCTTCTGTAGATGTCAGACTAGTTCCAGATGTTGGACCTGCTGTAGATGTCAGACTAGTCCCAGATGTTGGACCTGCTGTAGCTGTCAGACTAGTTCCAGATGTTGGACCTTCTGCAGATGTCAGACTAGTTCCAGATGTTGGACTTGCTGTAGATGTTGGACCTTCTGCAGATGTCAGACTAGTTCCAGATGTTGGACTTGCTGTAGATGTCAGACTAGTTCTGGATGTTGGACCTTCTGTAGATGTCAGACTAGTTCCAGATGTCAGACTAGTTCCAGATGTTGGACTTGCTGTAGACGTCAGACTAGTTCCAGATGTTGGACTTGCTGTAGACGTCAAACTAGTTCTGGATGTTGGACTTGCTGTAGATGTCAGATTAGTTCCGGATGTTGGACCTTCTGTAGGTGTCCGACTAGTTCCAGATGTTGGACTTGCTGTAGATATCCGACTAGTTCCAGATGTTGGACTTGCTGTAGATATCAGACTAGTTCCGGATGTTGGACCTGCAGTAGATGTCAGACTAGTTCCAGATGTTGGACCTCCTGTAGATGTCAGACTAGTTCCAGATGTTGGACCTGATGTAGATGTCAGACTAATTCCAGATAGTGGACTTGCTGTAGATGTCGAACTAGTTCCAGATGTTGGATCTGCTGCAGATGTCAGACTAGTTCCAGATGTTGGACTTGCTGTAGATGTCAGATTAGTTCCGGATGTTGGACCTTCTGTAGGTGTCCGGCTAGTTCCAGATGTTGGACTTGCTGTAGATATCCGACTAGTTCCAGATGTTGGACCTGCAGTAGATGTCAGACTTGTCCCAGATGTTGGCCCTTCTGTAGATGTCAGACTAGTTCCAGATGTTGGACCTGCTGTAGATGTCAGATTAGTTCCAGATGCTGGACTTGCTGTAGATGTCAGATTAGTTCCGGATGTTGGACCTTCTGTAGGTGTCCGACTAGTTCCAGATGTTGGACTTGTAGATATCAGACTAGTTCCAGATGTTGGACCTGCAGTAGATGTCAGACTTGTCCCAGATGTTGGACCTCCTGTAGATGTCAGACTAGTTCCAGATGTTGGACTTGATGTAGATGTCAGACTAGATTCAAACGTTGGACTTGCTGTAGATGTCAGACTAGTTCCAGATGTTGGACCTGCAGTAGATGTCAGACGTGTCCCAGATGTTGGACCCCCTGTAGATGTCAGACTAGTTCCAGATGTTGGACTTGCTGTAGATGTCAGATTAGTTCCGGATGTTGGACCTTCTGTAGGTGTCCGACTAGTTCCAGATGTTGGACTTGCTGTAGATATCAGACTAGTTCCAGATGTTGGACCTGCGGTAGATGTCAGACTTGTCCCTGATGTTGGACCTCCTGTAGATGTCAGACTAGTTCCAGATGTTGGACTTGATGTAGATGTCAGACTAGATTCAGACGTTGGACTTGCTGTAGATGTCAGACTAGTTCCAGATGTTGGACCTGCAGTAGATGTCAGACGTGTCCTAGAAGTTGGACCCCCTGTAGATGTCAGACTAGTTCCAGATGTTGGACTTGCTGTAGATGTCAGATTAGTTCCGGATGTTGGACCTTCTGTAGGTGTCCGACTAGTTCCAGATGTTGGACCTGCAGTAGATATCAGACTTGTCCCTGATGTTGGACCTCCTGTAGATGTCAGACTAGTTCCAGATTTTGGACTTGATGTAGATGTCAGACTAGATTCAGACGTTGGACTTGCTGTAGATGTCAGACTAGTTCCAGATGTTGGACCTGCAGTAGATGTCAGACGTGTCCCAGATGTTGGACCCCCTGTAGATGTCAGACTAGTCCCAGATGTTGGACTTGCTGTAGATGTCAGATTAGTTCCGGATGTTGGACCTTCTGTAGGTGTCCGACTAGTTCCAGATGTTGGACTTGCTGTAGATATCAGACTAGTTCCAGATGTTGGACCTGCAGTAGATGTCAGACTTGTCCCTGATGTTGGACCTCCTGTAGATGTCAGACTAGTTCCAGATTTTGGACTTGATGTAGATGTCAGACTAGATTCAGACGTTGGACTTGCTGTAGATGTCAGACTAGTTCCAGATGTTGGACCTGCATTAGATGTCAGACGTGTCCCAGATGTTGGACCCCCTGTAGATGTCAGACTAGTTCCAGATGTTGGACTTGATGTAGATGTCAGACTAGTTCCGGATGTTTGACTTGCAGTGGGCAAAGAACTGGTATTAGATGTTAAACTGGGTACTGTTTGTGGTAATATGGTGCTTGTTTCTTGATATATTACAGTACCTGCAAAATACAAAATAACTTATATATCAGAAAAACTTCAATGGCACTAAGACAGCAAATGTGTTACCTTCACATAACTAAAACATGTATTATACATATAAATACCCACATTCTAATGGATTCAGCAGCCAGTGGCACTGCTCATTTTGCATTTCTACTGTCACACCTTCCCTACAGCTATCTGGGTTTATCTCATTAGCACAGCTTGGTGTTACCAGCAGCCTTTACTGCTTTAATATTAACTAGTTTTAAACAAATCATGTCAAAATAACCAATGCAATATTATCATAAAATGTGATAAAATAAACTGACAAACAGTCATTGATATATGTATAAACAGCAAGGCTGGAACAATGTGCAAAACACTGAGCAATCAGAGAAGCATCATGTTGGTATCCATGGTGATTGCTCCAATGGCTGCAAGATACCTAGGGATAGATAAACCCTTTAACATCTTGAGTGAAAATGGAAAGTAAATGCAAAATATTTTTCAGAAGACCCTGCAAATGAGTGATACATTCATCTCAGCTGGTTTTCCCTAATCTTCCCTAATAGATTCAGAAACAAAAATAGTAAAATAGTACATCTGCCCATCCTACAGCCCGGAGAACCTACACAAATCTGATGTAAAACGAGTTATGGCCTAAAGAATTCATTATTTTGTGTTTTATTATGTAAGCAAATCTCTAAAATAGTTCAGACCAAGAGACACATAAACATGTTATAAAAATAACTCCATAAAATATCTTGTTGTATAGAGTGCTGTATAATTCCACCTTACGCTACGCTGTGCGTGAAAAAAAGGATGCTACAGGATGCTATTTCCTCATCATGCTGATCCCTGTTTGGAGGCTATATGAATTCATGGTGATTGCTTGTGGCCTTTGATTTTCTCTGTACTCACCATTAAATCGAATGCTAAGGAAGTCGATCTGCAGATTCCCAAATGTTGTATTCCCAGCTCGCACTTGGTCAAAGAGAGACCTGATTAATGTTGGGTCTGCGGGGACACTGTCACTATCAGCAAAGGTTAAACGAAGCTCCACTGTGACTGATCCATTCCTGTGGACATGACAGACAGGTTAGGTAATGTCTGCATTGTTGTCCAAACACCTCCTCTCATGAAACTCTACCCAACTTTCAGCCTGTGATATAACTGAAAATCCAACAATCAATTTTTACCCAATTTAATGTTATTTAAATTGTGAATTTAGGAAGATTCTCAAGTTTCCGAAGTTTGCGGCATTACTGTCAAAGAAACAGTTCTTGAATTCTGGATGGTGATTTCTTTAACAAATCCTGTACATGTTATCACATCAGTTACAATGCGGGATTGTACTGAAACCCAGACATGGCTGCACAGTTTACCAGATGACATGGTCTTAACAATAACTCACCCGAATTCTAGCACCTCCACTTGTTTCAGATTAAAACTCTGGTTTATGAATTGAAAAGTCTGTTGGAAAAGATCACACATTAGTCTACAATGAGATGGTGGTGGCACGATGGGGAAAGAAGATCCCCGCACTTTCTATAGGTTCAGAGTAAAATCGGAACATGTCATGCTTGTGTTATTGCTTGTTTTAATGATTTTGCCTTTCAATTAATTTCCGTTTCACTTCAGGTAAATGTGTAACTATTTATTTTATTCATTCATAGAGAAATTGTTTTCCCAGGACAATAGGTTGAGATTCCCAAACCTCCCAACTGTGCCAGAACCCACAGGACCATCTGGAATTTGTTTTTGTCCCCCGGTGCCCTGCATTTGGTGAGTGGGGACACCAGAAAACGTCTCCAATCAGGGCAGCACATGCTTGATCATCATTAGACACATTCACACATCATTAGACACACTCACACATCATTAGACACACACATTATTATGAACACACATCATTAGCCACATTCACTCATTATTACGAACACGCATTATATTTATTGTGTATTAATATTGGTTTTGTATTTTATTGTACCCTGCTGTAACAATGCAATGATTTGTGGACCCAGGACATACTTGAAAACGAGAGAAATCTTAATGTATCTTTCCTGGTAAAATATTTTATCAATAAAATAATAAATAATATTAGACATATTCACACATTATGTTTTTTTGTTTGGGAAGACAGGTGTCATGCTGCATTCCTGATTTCTGTGCCCAATCTTTTGTTTTGTCATGGGGAAACTACACACGGGACAGTCAGGAACGGAGCACCGACTGTCATTTTCTAAGTTCGCAGGTCAGTTATATTCAGCCAACTCTGTGTTAATTTTGTCGACTAACAATTTTAGTTAAAGTTTAGTTGACTAAAATCTTTGAGATTTAGTCAACTTAACCTAGACTAAAACTAAAACACTTTAGATGACTAAAATATGACTAAAACTAATATGGCATTTAAGTCTAAAGACTATGACTAAAACTAAATTAACACTGCACTGAGGGGCTATGGAGGGGGAAAAGAGACAGATAGAGGTTTATTTAAACCCATTAGATTATAGTCGTGATGACTAAAATCCGCAAGAGATTTAGTCAACTAAAATCTACTGGAGATTTAGTCGACTAAAACTAAAACAATTCAGATGACTAAAATACAACTAAAACTAAATTGGCTTTTCAGTCAGACTATGACTAAAACTAAATTAACACTGCACTGAGGGGCTATGGAGGGGGAAAAGAGACAGATAGAGGTTTATTTAAACCCATTAGATTATAGTCGTGATGACTAAAATCCGCAAGAGATTTAGTCAACTAAAATCTACTGGAGATTTAGTCGACTAAAACTAAAACAATTCAGATGACTAAAATACAACTAAAACTAAATTGGCTTTTCAGTCAGACTATGACTAAAACTAAATTAAAATTTTCCGCCAAAATGAACACTGATCCAACTTGGATATTTCAGTCTATAGCTTTTATTCATTAAATAGTGAACTGTGGAGAATTGCAAATGTAGGCTGAAATAGCTGAGTTGGAGAATTGTTTTCCATCAGTTACTTTAGCCTGTATCTTAATATCAGGTTTTCAGCTGTGTAGAGATTACTATTAAGACAAAAAAAAAACCACCTAATTTCTGTATGTACATTACATCACACCCATTTCCTTTACTCGGGCATTCCTTCTGGGTTTATCTGCTTACTGGAATATAATGAATAGTGAACTCTTTCACATCTAAACATCGATCATCATCGAACATTTGTCTTTTTCCTTAAGGTGAGAAAATTAATCCTGAGAATTTATCTATATACATTGACTCTCTGTGTCCAGAATCCACGGTTACTGTGACAACAATAACACTGCCTGGATAAATGCCACATTAATAAACTATAATGTTTCCTCACTTTATACCAGTGGCTCCCACCAAAAGGACACTTATTACTCACCGTGTCCTCTAGCTCTGCTTTGAGCAAACGATATGTACTAGAGGAGGTGATACTGAGATCACTTGTGTAAGTCCTGTTTGTAATTCTGATGAATAAAAGCCTTGTTGGGAGCAGAGTGATGGCGGATGAGTCTAATGTACTTGCTGTTACAAAGGAAGTAAAAATGTTTTGAGAGTCTTTTTTAGTGGTGGAAGTTGTATCTGCAGATGTAATGGTGGCCGCTGTGCTTGTAGGTTGGATTGTTCCTGATGTTGGGGTGGAAGAAGGTCTATTGGCTGTTGGGAGGCTTGTTATAACTACAGGCTGGAATCCTGCAGATGAAGAAGAGATTGTTCCAGATGTAGAACTCAAAATGGATATAGAGATGTTTCCGGATGTTGTACCCAAAGTTGATACAGAGCTGGTTCCAGGAGTAGAACCCACAATGGACACTGAACTTGTTTGAAGTGTAGAACTCACAGTGGATATAGAACTAGTTCTGGGTGTAGAAACCACAGTTGATACAGAGCTGGTTCTAGGAAGAGAACCTATAGTGGACATAGAGCTAGTTTCAGATGAAGAATTGACTGTGGATTTAGAGCTGGTTCCAGATGTGGAATCCACAGTAGACACCGAGGTTCCAGGTGTAGAACCCAAAGTGGATACAGAACTGGTTCCAGGAAGAGAACCTATACTGGATATAGAACTAGTTTCAGATGGAGAAACCACAGTGTATATAGAACTGGTTCCAGGTGTGGAACCCGCAGTGGGTATAGAGCTGGTTCTAGGTGTAGAACCCGCAGTGGATACAGAGCTGGTTGCAGATGTAAAATCCTTTGTGAATATTGAGGTTCCAGGTGTAGAACCTACAGTGGATATAGAGCTGGTTTCAGGAAGAGAACCCATATTGGACATATAACTAGTTTCTAATGGAGATCCTACAGTTGATTTAGAGCTGGTTCCAGGTGTAGAACCTAAAGTGGATATAGAGCTGGTTCCAGGTGTAAAACCTACAGTGGATATAGAGCTGGCTGCAGATGTAAAACCCACAGTCAATACAGAGGTTCCAGGTGTAGAACCCACAGGGGATTTGGAGCTGATTTCATGTGTAGAAATCACAGTGGACACTGGGTTGGTTTGAGGTGTAGAACTCACAGTGGATACAGAGCTTGCTCCAGGTGTATTTGGCATGGTGCTGGTTTCCAATGGTGAGCTGGTAGTTGGTATAGTGCTGGTTTCAGATAGGGAGCTGATAGCTGGTATGGTTCTGGTTTCAAATAAAGAGCTGATAGTTGGCACAGTGCTGGTTTCAGACAGTGAGCTGGTAGTTGGCACAGTGCTGGTTTCAGACGGTAAGTTGGTAGTTGGCACAGTGCTGGTTTTAGATAAGGGGCTGGTAGTAGGCACGGTACTGGTTTCAGATAAGGAGCTTGTACTTAGCATAGTGCTGGTTTCAAATAAGGAGTTGAGTGTTGGCACAGTGCTGTTTTCAGATAGGGAGCTGGCAGTTGGCACAGTGCTGGTTTCAGATAAGGAGCTGGTAGTTAGCATAGTGCTGGTTTTAGATAAGGAGCTGGTAGTTGGCACAGTGCTGGTTTTAGATAAAGAGCTGGTAGTTGGCACAGTGCTGGTTTCAGATAAGGAGCTGGTAGTTGGCATAGTGCTGGTTTCAGATAAGGTGCTGGTAATTGACACAGTGCTCATTTCAGATAAGGAGCTGGTAGTTGGCAAAGTGCTTGTTTCAGATAAGGAGCTTGTAGTTGGCCTTGTGCTGGTTTCAGATAAGGAGCTGGTAGTTGGCATAGTGCTAGTTTCTGATAAGGAGCTTGTAGTTGGCACAGTGCTGGTTTCAGATAAAGAGCTGGTAGTTGGCACAGTGCTGGTTTCAGATGAGGAGCTGGTAGTTGGCACAGTGCTGGTTTCAGATAATGAGCTGGTAGTTGGCATAGTGCTGGTTTCAGATAAGGAGCTGGTAGATGGCATAGTGCTGGTTTCAGGCGGTAAGCTGGTAGTTGGCACAGTGCTTGTTTCAGATGGTGAGCTGGTAGTTGGCACAGTGCTTGTTTCAGATAAGGAGCTGGTAGTTGGCACAGTGCTTGTTTCAGATAAGGTGTTGGTAGTTGGCACAGTGCTGGTTTCAGATGATGAGCTGGTAGTTGGCACAGTGCTGGTTTCAGATAAGGAGCTGGTAGATGGCACAGTGCTTGTTTTAGATAACGAGCTGGTAGATGGCACAGTGCTTGTTTTAGATAAGGAGCTAGTAGTAGGCACAGTGCTGGTTTCAGATAAGGAGCTGGTAGATGGCATAGTGCTGGTTTCAGATAAGGAGCTGGTAGATGCCATAGTGCTGGTTTCAGACGGTAAGCTGGTAGTTGGCACAGTGCTTGTTTCAGATGGTGAGCTGATAGTTGGCACAGTGCTTGTTTCAGATAAGGAGCTGGTAGTTGGCACAGTGCTGGTTTCAGATAAAGAGCTGGTAGATGGCACAGTGCTTGTTTTAGATAAGGAGCTGGTAGTTGGCACAGTGCTCATTTCAGATAAGGAGCTGGTAGTTGGCATAGTGCTGGTTTCAGATAAGGAGCTGGTAGTTGGCACAGTGCTGGTTTCAGATAAGGAGCTGGTAGTTGGCATAGTGCTGGTTTCAGATAAGGAGCTGGTAGATGGCATAGTGCTGGTTTCAGACAGTAAGCTGGTAGTTGGCACAGTGCTTGTTTCAGATGGTGAGCTGGTAGTTGGCACAGTGCTTGTTTCAGATAAGGAGCTGGTAGTTGGCACAGTGCTGGTTTCAGATAAGGAGCTGGTAGATGGCACAGTGCTTGTGTTAGATAAGGAGCTGGTAGTTGGCACAGTGCTGGTTTCAGATAAGGAGCTGGTAGATGGCACAGTGCTTGTTTTAGATAAGGAGCTGGTAGTTGGCACAGTGCTGGTATAAAGTGGGGAGCTAATAGTGGGTTTGATTGTAACTGGGTATATTTTTATACCTGGGAAAATAAAATCAGAGATAATTAATGCTGATTTAGGTATCATACAATTCCATGATATTTCAATCATTTTTTTTTTTAAATGTGTTACATAATATCTCTTATCTTATTAATTGTAGAAATGCAGAACCTAGTTATAATTATTATCTGAATACATCAAATACCTACAAGAACCGGCTTCCCTTTACAGACGATAGATCGAAATGCAATAAAACATTTCTATTTTACGTCTCTGTTTGTTTTCTCGGTTATAGTATGAGGTGATCTACGTACCGTTAGATTCAATGCTGTACACATCCAGGAGAAACTCTGCTAGCATCGAGTTAGTATTTTTCACAGCTTCATAAATCGCCATGACAATCTCTTCAGACGTAGGGACTTTGGTGCCATTAGCAAAGGTTAACAACAAGGTGACAATCACAGAGCCCTCCCTGAGAGAGGAGACAAGGTGTTACAAACATATTAATTCACTAATAACAGGATTATTCACTAAAGTGAAACTTCAAGCTGAATTTAAAGTCAATTTAAAATGTAATTTAATTTGAGCTCTAGGATGAGATGCTGATTGGCCAGACCATCATTTGGCTCTGCCCATGGTCTGCCTCCTTGGCTGAGATAATCAAAATTGACAATCTCAAAATTGGCAATACCTAGGGGAAAACCTTATGATTGGCTGAGATTATCACTTCTGATGATCTCAGCTAATGAGGTGGATCAGGGGCGGGACCAGCACCAGCGGACTGGAATAAAGGTAAGATTTTACTATATAGAGAAGGGGTAAAGTGGATGGGGGCTAGAGGGTGTTTTTACACTATAGGGTCAGAAATACATGTTTGAGTTTCTGGCCCTATAGGTTCCTTTAAGTATAAAATAGCTCATCTAGAAACATTCTTCCAATCAGCTACGATTCCAGTATGACTATTTGGGACCTACATTTGAATTCACTTCTCACTTTAGTGAATAACTCTGTAATTGATGTAATTATCTGCATCGCTTCTAAAATCACTTGTTATGTTATATTTCCTATCACAAGTGGCAGACTGACTTTGTAACAGAGCTCGGTCGGGGGATCTCTTTCCACTAGCGTACGCGTTCAGAGAGCGCAATTTTAGAGAAATAAAGTGTGCAAACCTTAGATTATAGCTGCAAACAGTGACACACCATGACCTTGTGCAGTTACAAATCGTGAAAAAAAGTGAATAAAGGAATGTTATGGTCTGTGAGACCTCTATGCCCCCCCCCTCAAAAATACAAGAGAGCGGTCTCCCACCCAGGGCCGTCTATAATATGATTAGGACCCTGGGCAACGCATTTTCTTGGGCCCCCTGGGCCCTGCTCTTCCCCCCCATCCCCCTAATTACACCCAACCCGCAATCACACTGACAGACATACTGACACATACGCACACAGACAGACATATTAAAACATTCTCAGATACATACTGACATACACATACACCGACACACAAATATATACCTGCAGACATATTGACACACATTCAGACATACTGACACACACACAGACACACATTCATGAATACACAGACACATAAACTGACAAATATACTGACACACACAGACGCATACACTGACAGACCTATTGACACACACACACAGACAGACATAGACACACACACAGACTTAGTGACACACAGACATACTGACATACACACACACACAGACAGACATAGACACACACACAGACTTAGTGACACACAGACATACTGATACACACACACACACACAGACACACACACACAGACCTACTGACATACATTTAGCCACCCTCCAGGTTCTTACCTTTTTCTGGAGGGTGGTTTCCCTGGTCCAGTGGCAGGCTGAGGCAGATGGGAGTTCTCCTCTGGAACTCCCCTCCTCCCTGCCTTTCTCCTCCCGTGCGGTTGTGATCTCCGGTAGGAGGAAGTGACGCGCGGCACTCACTTCCTCCCAGCCGGCTGCCGAACAGGTAGGGGCCCGGTCGCGCTGTTTAAGTGTCACAGCGACCGACCGGGCCCCTGCTGACACATGACCACCGGGTGGCCCTTAGTGCATGGGTCACCCAGGGGCCTCCTTAGTGTGCGGCTGGTGTGGCTCTGTGCAGCCGCCCCGCCAGGTCCATGGGGGCTGCTCGAATCGCGGGGCCCACGAGGCAGCTGCTCTGGGCCCCTCAGGAGCAACTGGGCCCGGGGCAGCTGCCCCATTTGCCCCGCGTTAAAGACGGCCCTGCTCCCACCCATGTGCAGCACGGTGGAGGTTAATAATTAAATAGTGCTCAGAAGAGGCCCAGTTTCTCAGGTCCTTTTAGGTCCCTGTAAAATTTGATGGTCTGGCCATCTTCTGGGACCTTATCATGGCCTTATATGTTATTCCAGGTTAGGGGAGATAATGTGATCTTGGAAGGGGAAGGAGAAAATGGTACTAAACAGAACAAGTTGGCTCAGACCTGGAGACGGGAGAAGAATGTGTCTGTTTCCAGAAAGAAGTTATTCAGACTGAATACAGAGACAGTTCATACATTGCTACATGGTATGTGTCCGCCATATTACTCCATAGTTAGGATTAACTAATACCCAACACACAGAACTAAATAAAGTATAACCAGAAATCCTAAAACAGTTTGACTTTAATAAATTGAATAGCGAGCCAAGGTCAGGGAGACAGAGTACGTAAACGGTAAAACAAGCCAAAGATCAAGGAATATGGAAGCCATGGTCAAATACCATAGAATAAATATAAATATTGCAAACTTGGATAACCAATAAGGGAACCATAGCAAGGTACTGAGAAATTGCTCATTTGAGTTTAAATAGTCTGAGAAAGGCTCTGATTGACCAATAGTGGTCATGTCAGAACGTGCGTGAATAAATTCAGAGCAACGTCGCACACATGGTCACAATATGAATCAGGGGTGGAGAAGATGGAGCCATAAAAGGCTCCAATGTGCAGTGGTCAGCATCGATTGGCTGTCAGAGGTGGCCGTCATGGAAGTAAATGTGAGTGTCACAGGCGACGTGCCCAAGGCCCGCATTAGAATGTATGGCATCTGAGCGCACCCAGTGTTCAGCAAGAGGAAAACTAGACCAATCATTTAATGGCTGCAGAGTGCGTGAATATGAAAGAATCAACAAGATTCCATCAGTTTCTTTCTGTCTGAGCAGTTTGCACAAACACACTGACTGAACACACGTCTGCATTACAGAGAGAACAAAGTGTGAGCTTATTGCTACAGGATTTAGTAACAAGTGACTCAGGATTACACAAGGAAGTAACAGAGTGCTTTGACACTCTATCAAAGAGTGACTGTCTGCAGAGTGAGACATGTTCATTAGCCCTGGAGAGAGAGAGAGAGAGAGAGAGTTTAACCCTTTAAGGAGCAAACGTCTGGAATAAAAGGGAATCATGACATGTCACACATGTCATGTGTCCTTAAGGGGTTAAACCGTGTAATTCTATGTTTCTGAGCATCGTACTCAAGCAACCCTCTCTAGCTTCCTTCTCAAGCGGCAAAGGGGATATCATCTACTCAGCTAAAATCTCTAAAATACAGGGCACTACACTGGGTAGTGCTACCTCCAAGATTGTTATAACATTAGCTGTCATTATTTCATGAGCTCATTAAGGGTTAACTAGGAAATAGGTATAGGTTATCATAATGCACCATGATATCTGAAGATTTACATGTGCAGTTATTACATTTTCTGTATTAAAATCTTGTAGGATATCACAACCTATTATTCTAGGTTGACCCCTGTAGGTAGAGGCACTGCGTCATACAGGCATACCTCCTGAGCCCGATTTCTGTTCCTTTACTCACACTCATCGGAGGCTTGGTCAGCTACACAGCATTCCATCACCTGTCTTAGGGATGGTCAGAAGAGGGTTTTAGGATAATAACATCTTGTGGACCAGTAGGCGGGAGCTTCTAGGGCACTATGTAAGTATTACTTCCTAACCTGCAGCTCATGGCCTGGAGAAAGCAGAGACTCTTATTATAATCCCCAAGGCTCTCTTATTACAGAATTTATGTTAATTTCACTTTCCGGGTCATAGGGGAGAACAGAGCATAATGTTATTTGGCACTAAAAGGATTAATTTCACTAGCGGCACTTGCCCAGTCAGACTTTATATCACTAGGTATTGTATTCATGCAATGAAAGGATTTTTTGAGTTTGTAAAACCACACCACTATTTATTGAATAACAAAAGGCATTGTGATTTGTGCGGTTTGCTCTGCTGACACGCTCTGCTGATGAATATACGGAACGAGTGTGTTTTTAACGTTGCTACGCATATTAATCATTATACAATATTGGTAATTTCTTCCAGAATCAACCCAACCAAAAACCCATGACTTACTTCAGTTCCGTGACCGTGACCCTTTCCACTGAGTACATTCTATTAAAGAAATCCTGGATCTGTGAAATTAGGTAAAAACACAAGTTCACGCAATGTCTTCGGTACATTCTATTAATGGTTTGAATATATTGTGAAGGGACAACGTAAGATAAAAGCATTTTTATTGTCCCTAAAATGATCTAATTGGCCTCCATTACCATGCTGCATTATTAGAGAAACCACAATCTCTTATCCAAAAATTATCGACCTGTTACTGGATGCTGAATCACGATACCACTGTTGGAGCATTTTTCACAGTATTTTTACCACTCAAAGATTGGTTAAAGAAGGTCCTCATGGACTCAAGGTCCCTCACAGTCCTGCAGCAGGTGGGTCTGTGACACGTAACTCGAACGATTAAAGAGAAGCGCTTGTGTCCAACATTGTCTATAAACATCTGCCACAAGCTGTTTTCATTGCCAATAGCTGGTAGATAATTAAGGTCACAATTGTTTTCCTTCACTGGGACCACGATTAGTGGTACTAACATCAATTTGGCCAGTTCCGGGGCTAGATTCCAGAAAGTTTATTCTTAGACTACAGGGTTTTCCAGGGTCTGTGTATGTGTGTGTGGAGGTTTAACTGGAAAGTAAAAATTACATGTATTTAAAAAACGTTGGAGCAACCCTTTAATGTGGTGGTATCCAAAACAGTCCTCAAGGCATGCCAACCAGTCCAGGGTTCAGGGATTACACAGTTCTGTCAAGGTAATTTTTATTTTCTAATAAAAACACCTTATAAACAACTGGGTAATCCCTAAATCCTGGATTAGTAGGCATGCCTTGAACCAATGCACCTGGATGTCTATAATGTGCGACATGTAATGGAATTCACATCTCTCATTTATTTATCTCATTACATTGTGGTCTTGGAGCGTGGCATTATAATATTAAAAGCTAAATAACGAGTCCGGCGCGGTTTTACGGACTTTGACAGTGCTACTACAGAGGTTTGTAAAATACAGATTGTGATCACTTTGATGACTGTTCCACAATACTGATTGAAAGTCAGACATTATCGATTGAAGGCATTTTGGATTATAATTTCGGCCCTGTATATCAAACTGAAATTTGAAACAACTGATACTGTATCCAAGTCTGTTACTCACCAGTGTTTCAATCCTAGATACCAGCACTCTGTATTCTACTGAAGAAGGATTTTGAAGGCCCTCTGTGTAATTTAAGTTCAGTATTTTCAGTTGTAAAGGGTGCGTTCTGGGGGAAGACGTGCTGGCTGATAAAGTAGAGGATAATGTTGTACTTATTTCAGGTGAAGATGTTGGTGATTGCTTAGGATGAGAAAATGGTGAAAAAGTAAGAGAAGAAATGATGGCTGAAAGCAAAAACAGAACCATATGTACTATTAATATCATACTCACAATTGGCATAGAGTTGGGTTCAGATAAAGAGCTGGTAGTTGGCACAGTGCTGGTTTCAGATAAGGAGCTGGTAGTTGGCACAGTGCTGGGTTCAGATAAGGAGCTGGTAGTTGGCACAGTGCTGGGTTCAGATAAGGAGCTGGTAGATGGCACAGTGCTGGTTTCAGATAAGGAGCTGGTAGTTGGCACAGTGCTGGTTTTAGATGAGGAGCTGGTAGTTGTCACAGTGCTGGCTTTAGATGAGGAGCTGGTAGTTGGCACAGTGCTGGTTTGGGACAGTGAGCTGGTATTCGGCACAGTGCTTGTTTCCGATAAGGAGCTGGTAGTTGGCCTAGTGCTGGTTTCAGATAAGGAGCTGGTAGTTGGCCTAGTGCTGGTTTCAGATAAGGAGCTGGTAGTTGGGACAGTGCTGGTTTCAGATAAGGAGCTGGTAGTTGGCCTTGTGCTGGTTTCAGATAAGGAGCTGGTAGTTGGGACAGTGCTGGTTTCAGATAAGGAGCTGGTAGTTGGCACAGTGCTGGTTTCAGATAAGGAGCTTGTAGTTGGCCTTGTGCTGGTTTCAGATAAGGAGCTAGTAGTTGGCACAGTGCTGGGTTTAGATGAGGAGCTGGAAGTTGGCACAGTGCTGGTTTCAGATAAGGAGCTGGTAGTTGGCACAGTGCTGTTTTTAGAAGGGGAGCTGGTAGTTGGCACAGTGCTGGTTTCAGATAAGGAGCTGGTAGATGGCACAGTGCTGGTTTCAAATAAGGAGCTGGTAGTTGGCACAGTGCTGGGTTCAGATAAGGAGCTGGTAGATGGCAGAGTGCTGGTTTCAGATAAGGAGCTGGTAGTTGGCACAGTGCTGGTTTTAGATGAGGAGCTGGTAGTTGGCACAGTGCTGGGTTCAGATAAGGAGCTGGTAGTTGGCATAGTGCTAGTTTCATATAAGGAGCTAGTAGTTGGCACAGTGCTGGGTTTAGATGAGGAGCTGGAAGTTGGCCTAGTGCTGGTTTCAGATAAGGAGCTGGTAGTTGGCACAGTGCTGGTTTTAGATGAGGAGCTGGTAGTTGGCACATGAGATGAGAGCTGGTAGTTGGCACAGTGCTGGTTTCAGATAAGGAGCTGGTAGTTACTTTGCTGGTTTCAGATGGAGCTGGTAGATGGCACAGTGCTGGTTTCAGATAAGGAGCTGGTAGTTGGCATAGTGCTGGTTTCAGATAAGGAGCTGGTAGTTGGCACAGTGCTGGTTTCAGATAAGGAGCTTGTAGTTGGCCTTGTGCTGGTTTCAGATAAGGAGCTGGTAGTTGGGACAGTGCTGGTTTCAGATAAGAAGCTGGTAGTTGGCACAGTGCTGGTTTGGGACAGTGAGCTGGTATTAGGCACAGTGCTTGTTTCAGATAAGTAGCTGGTAGTTGGCCTAGTGCTGGTTTCAGATAAGGAGCTGGTAGTTGGGACAGTGCTGGTTTCAGATAAGGAGCTGGTAGTTGGCACAGTGCCGGTTTCAGATAAGGAGCTTGTAGTTGGCCTTGTGCTGGTTTCAGATAAGGAGCTGGTAGTTGGCACAGTGCTGGTTTCAGATGAGAAGCTGGTAGTTGGCCTAGTGTTGGTTTCAGATGAGGAGATGGTAGATGGCACAGTGCTGGTTTCAGATGAGGAGATGGTAGATGGCCCAGTGCTGGTTTCAGATAAGGAGCTGGTCGTTGGCCTAGTGCTGGTTTCAGATAAGGAGCTGGTAGATGGCACAGTGCTGGTTTCAGATAAGGAGCTGGTCGTTGGCCTAGTGCTGGTTTCAGATAAGGAGCTGGTCGTTGGCCTAGTGCTGGTTTCAGATAAGGAGCTGGTAGTTGGCCTAGTGCTGGTTTCAGATAAGGAGCTGGTAGTTGGCACAGTGCTGCCTTTAGATGAGAAGCTGGTAGTTGGCACAGTGCTGGTTTGTGACAGTGAGCTTGTATTAGGCACAGTGCTGGTTTCTGACAGTGAGCTGGTAGTTGGCATGTTGCTGGTTTCAGATAAGGAGCTGGTAGATGGCACAGTGCTGGTTTCAGATAAGGAGCTGATGGTTAGCACAGTGCTGGTTTCTGATACGGAGCTGGTAGTTGGCACGTTGCTGGTTTCAGATAAGAAGCTGGTAGTTGGCACAGTGCTGGTTTCAGATAAGGAGCTGGTAGTTGGCACAGTGCTGGTTTCAGATAAGGAGCTTGTAGTTGACCTTGTGCTGGTTTCAGATAAGGAGCTAGTAGTTGGCACAGTGCTGGGTTTCGATGAGGAGCTGGACATTGGCACAGTGCTGGTTTCAGATAAGGAGCTGGTAGTTGGCACAGTGCTGGCTTTAGAAGGGGAGTTGGTAGTTGGCACAGTGCTGGCTTTAGATGAGGATCTGGTATTAGGCACAGTGCTTGTTTCAGATAAGTAGCTGGTAGTTGGCCTAGTGCTGGTTTCAGATAAGGAGCTGGTAGTTGGCACAGTGCTGGTTTCAGATAAGGAGCTGGTAGTTGGGACAGTGCTGGTTTCAGATAAGGAGCTGGTAGTTGGCACAGTGCCGGTTTCAGATAAGGAGCTTGTAGTTTGCCTTGTGCTGGTTTCAGATAAGGAGCTGGTAGTTGGGACAGTGCTGGTTTCAGATAAGAAGCTGGTAGTTGGCCTAGTGCTGGTTTCAGATGAGGAGATGGTAGATGGCACAGTGCTGGTTTCAGATAAGGAGCTGGTAGTTGGCCTAGTGCTGGTTTCAGATAAGGAGCTGGTAGTTGGCACAGTGCTGGTTTTAGATGAGGAGCTGGTAGTTGGCACAGTGCTGCCTTGAGATGAGAAGCTGGTAGTTGGCACAGTGCTGGTTTCAGATAAGGAGCTGGTAGTTAGAACTTTGCTTGTTTCAGATAAGGAGCTGGTAGATGGCACAGTGCTGGTTTCAGATAAGGAGCTGGTAGTTGGCATAGTGCTGGTTTCAGATAAGGAGATGGTAGTTGGGACAGTGCTGGTTTCAGATAAGAAGCTGGTTCTTGGCACAGTGCTGGTTTCAGATAAGGAGCTGGTAGTTGGCCTAGTGCTGGTTTCAGATGAGGAGATGGTAGTTGGCACAGTGCCGGTTTCAGATAAGGAGCTTGTAGTTGACCTTGTGCTGGTTTCAGATAAGGAGCTAGTAGTTGGCACAGTGCTGGGTTTCGATGAGGAGCTGGACGTTGGCACAGTGCTGGTTTCAGATAAGGAGCTGGTAGTTGGCACAGTGCTGGTTTTAGAAGGGGAGTTGGTAGTTGGCACAGTGCTGGCTTTAGATGAGGATCTGGTATTAGGCACAGTGCTTGTTTCAGATAAGTAGCTGGTAGCTGGCCTAGTGCTGGTTTCAGATAAGGAGCTGGTAGTTGGCATAGTGCTGGTTTCAGATAAGGAGCTGGTAGTTGGGACAGTGCTGGTTTCAGATAAGGAGCTGGTAGTTGGTACAGTGCCGGTTTCAGATAAGGAGCTTGTAGTTTGCCTTGTGCTGGTTTCAGATAAGGATCTGGTAGTTGGGACAGTGCTGGTTTCAGATAAGAAGCTGGTAGTTGGCCTAGTGCTGGTTTCAGATGAGGAGATGGTAGATGGCACAGTGCTGGTTTCAGATAAGGAGCTGGTCATTGGCCTAGTGCTGGTTTCAGATAAGGAGCTGGTAGTTGGCCTAGTGCTGGTTTCAGATAAGGAGCTGGTAGTTGGCACAGTGCTGGTTTTAGACGAGGAGCTGGTAGATGGCACAGTGCTGGTTTTAGACGAGGAACTGGTAGATGGCACAGTGCTGCTTTCAGATAAGGAGCTGGTAGTTGGCACAGTGCTGGTTTTATATGAGGAGCTGGTAGTTGGCACAATGCTGCCTTTAGATGAGAAGCTGGTAGTTGGCACAGTGCTGGTTTCAGATAAGGAGCTGGTAGTTAGAACTTTGCTTGTTTCAGATAAGGAGCTGGTAGGTGGCACAGTGCTGGTTTCAGATAAGGAGCGGGTAGTTGGCATAGTGATGGCTTCTGATATGGAGCTAGTAGTTGGCATAGGGCTGGTTTCAGATAAGGAGCTGATAGTTGGCACAATAATGGTTTCTGACAGTGAGCTGGTAATTGGCACAGTGTTGGTTTCTGACAGAGAGCTGCTAGTTGGCATAGTGCTGGTTTCTGACAGTGAGCTGGTAGTTGGCACAGTGCTGGTTTCTGACAGTGAGCTGGTAGTTGGCATAGTGCTGGTTTCAGATAAGGAGCTGGTAGTTGGCCTAGTGCTGGTTTCAGATAACGAGCTGTTAGATGGCACAGTGCTGGTTTGTGACAGTGAGCTGGTATTAGGCACAGTGCTGGTTTCAGATAAGGATCTGGCAGTTGGCACAATTATGGTTTCTGACAGTAAGCTGGTAGTTGGCATAGTGCTGGTTTCTGACAGTGAGCTGCTAATTGGCACAGTGTTGGTTTCTGACAGTGAGCTGGTAGTTGGCATAGTGCTGGTTTCTGACAGTGAGCTGGTAGTTGACACAGTGCTGGTTTCTGACAGTGAGCTGGTAGTTGGCATAGTGCTGGTTTCAGATAAGGAGCTGTTAGATGGCACAGTGCTGGTTTGTGACAGTGAGCTCGTATTAGGCACAGTGCTTGTTTCAGATAAGTAGCTGGTAGTTGACACAGTGCTGGTATTATTTATTGAGGCAGAAGCTGCCATAGTAGAGATGATAGTTGGCACAGTGCTTGTGGCAGATGAGGAGTTAGTAATTGGCTTAGTGGTGGTTTCAGACGGGGAGCTGGTAGTTGGAATAATATCGGATTTAGATGGTGAGGTGGTTGCTGGTTTGGATGTAGTTTGGTATATTCTAAACCCTATGAGATTAGAATAGAGATTACTAACGCTGGACCGGATATAATATATTGCAATGATCAGTAATATATTTCAGCTAAAGGTTTGTAACTTATTTCATATGTGTTATAGGTTTGCAAAAATGTACCATTCAGTCATAATCACTGAAAACCACGTCACAGACCAAACTTCCTTTCATACATTATAAAGAACTAAATAAACATGTAACAAATCCAGCCTGTGCAAAGTATCTGTTTTCCAGCTATGTTTTCTAACGGAATTTGTTTACTTACCATTAGATTCAATGCTAGATATATCAAACAGAAACTGTGCTAGCATAGAGCTATTACTCTTTAAAGCCTCAACAAGTGCCGTGACCAGCTCTTCGGACGTAGGGACTTGTGTGCCATTGGCAAAGTCAATTAACAAGGTGACTATCACAGAGCCGTTCCTGGGAGGTAAACAAAACATGAATACAATGTGTATTATATTAAAACAATGAGTTTTATATTAATACAATGCGTTTTATATTATTACAATGTGTATTATATTAATACAATGTGTTTTATATTAATACAATATGTATTATATTAATACAATGCGTTTTATATTAATACAATGTGTATTATATTAATACAATGTGTTTTATATTATTACAATGCGTTTTATATTAATACAATGTGTTTTTATTGTCGTAATGGTTTAGGATTTGTTCGACCAACCCCGTCATGACATATGCATAGTCGCCTTTTTTGCAAATGCGTAACAAACCTCCCTCTCTCCCCTCCCCCACAAATACTCGGACACCATTATTTGGGAAAATTATTCCAGCTTTAAATATGTATACATAATACTTAAAATATTTTAAGGTCATTGTCACATTTTAACATAACATATCAACCCCAACTCCTTTAATAATGGTGACTCTTTTATAGAAGGTCTCCCTGTGTGCTACATTGGTCAGGGTTTTGATTCCCGTTTCCATGATCCCTGACCAGTCTTTGTCAGATATATGTATTCGGAGGTCTTTCATCCAGTTCTGTTGGAATGACAGTGGTTTATTTTCCTCAACGGATCCCTGGAGGATGCGGTAAATTTTAGACAAGGGGCGTCTAGGGTCGCCCTCTGGGCCACAAAGGTGTTCAAAGGGTGTGTCTGCTCTCTGTTTCCAGAGAGGAATGACAGTTCTTTTTAAAAAGGCCTTAAGTTGTGTTCTACCTATCACCTCAATGAGCGTGTCATGCCTGTGGGTGGGTCTCCCACGATCATTTCGGTTATGTCTAGGGTGGATGATCCCATGAGGCGGGTAAGGAGTGGTCCTCCGCACTCCCCCTGAAGGTCAGGATTGTCTGCTATAGGGAAGAATCTCGAAAGTCCCGGTGACAGTCCCAATAGGTCTTTATAGATATATAAGATTCTCCATATTGTGAGGACGTTGTGTATGAGTGGGTGCCGTGTCGAAGTGAGCTTTGGGAGTTGGCATGTTTGCCATGGCAGAGTGTGTAGGGGGACTGATGTAAAGCTCTGTTCTAGTGTATACCACGATTTATTCCTTTTGGTATCTGTCCATTCCTTTAATCGAGTGAGCAATACTGCCACATAGTATTTGTATAGATGGGGCAGCCCTAGTCCCCCCTGCCTGTGGTGGAGGTTAGTGTGGTGAGCACTATCCTTGCTGGTTTGTTGTCCCAGATGTATTTGGTGAAAATTGTCCACATCTGTCTGAAGAATGTCCCTGGGAGAGGGATAGGTAGGGCCTGGAAGAGGTATAGTATTTTCGGTAGAATCCTCATTTTCAGAATGCTGATCCGTCCTATTAGGGAGAAATTAGGTAGATCCCACTTTTGGAGGTCTCATTTAATATTGTCTATGGGGTGGGTAGTTTAGTTTGTATAAGCTTTTGGGTGACGTGGTGAGTCATATCCTCAAATATGTCAGTCCTGTCCGAGTCCAGGGGAAAGTATGTCTTTGTTGAATTAGTGTTTGCAGGGTCGGGGGTACCGAAATCCCTAATATTTTGCGTTTGTCTGCATTAATCCTAAAGTTCGAGAGGGATCCAAAGGTGTGAATCTCGGTGTTTTAGTTGGGTCTGTGAGCGTGAATAGGACATCGTCCGCAAATGCGGATACCTTCACCTCTCCTCCATGATGTCAATATCCCTGTATTTTAGTGTGAGACCTGATTGCGTTCAGGAAAGGCTCCATGGCCAATACAAATAACAGGGGTGAGAGGGGACAGCCTTGGCGAGTGCCGTTGCTGCTTATTGGAAACGGTGCCGATAAGTGGCCGTTTACTCTGATGCTGGCCGAGGGTCCCCTATAGAGAGTTTGTGTGACGAGACCAATCTCGCCACATTGCATTGGAGAAGCCAGGTTGCTCGCCTGCTGCCTTTGGACTATGGCCCCATGTTAAAAGACTTTGTTTCCCTGCAGAAAAGGCTTATTTGACCGGATGCCTGTTCATTCGGTAGTATAAACCGTATGAACTGCATTACCCCAGATAGCCATCCCGTGGAGTCTATTCGGATGGAGAACAGACTTTGTGAACACTTTAACTCCACGGCGATTGGACTGTGTGCATAGGATCTGAGCGCTATTCGGTACTTTTGTGCGCTCAGATTTAAGCTATCTGGGGATAGGTAGAATATATATGTTTTGTGCAACAGTTGTAACTTTATAAATTTTTATGTCTTTTACTGTCTTTTACTGCCATGTGGTTAATGGAGTTTTGCATCTGTGCTGGGAGATAATTGGATTACTTCCCAATTATCTCCAGGACAGAGGGAGGGAAGTTAGGATGCATTGTGGGGGGGGTTTTACCTCTGTGGTTCATGTCTGTTTACCATTGGTTCATGTCTGTCCTTTGTCACAGTCTCCCATTTGGTCTCCTAGGGGAGTGTCCACCAGGTGGGAGACCAGCATAAATACTGGGCAGGTAGCCCTCATTAAACAGACCACTGCTTGACCCTCAACACGGAGCCTTGTCTCGTCTTTGGGGGGATTTACTGAATGCTGATAGAGATTGATTGATAGGAGTGTAAGCCGCTTGGATGCTTTTCCTATTCGTCTGCTAGCAGCTATTCGTATGGTTCCAGTTTGTGTGTTTGGAGTGCTATATTGGATGCCGTTTGGGAGTTTGGAACATTCACTTATTGGTGGTTCGTGAGTTTGGTGTTTTACAATAGCTGTGCCTGCATCTCTGGAAGGGGAAGATCTACTGAACGGCGGTTTAACCCTTTTATGCCTGGGGGTACTGTCACAGTTTGTATCCAGTTCCTCAATCTTGGGCCTGTACCCAAGACCTCTAGAACCGTAAATAAGTAGGACCAGTCCACCCTGTCGAAGGCTTTTTCAGCGTCAATAGCCATCAGTAGAGTTGGTGTTTTAGTCACCGTTGCTCCATGAATGACGTTTAGAATTTTCGTGCTATTATCTCTAGCCCCACGGCCAGGTACAAAGCCCGCCTGATCAGGGTGGATTAGGTTTGGTAAAAGAGGTTTGAGCCTATTGGCAATCATTTTCGCCATTAGTTTTAGATTTATTAGTGGGTCTATAGCTACCACACTTTGTGGGGTCTTTGCCTGGCTTAGGGATGATAGTGATAGATGCCCGTAGCATTGGAGGTGGGAGAGGAGTTTCATGGGTTAGGCCATTTAATGTTTTCAGAAAGTGAGGGGACAGTTCTTGTGTGAGTGTTTGGTAGTATCTCGCGGTCAGTCCATCTGGGCCAGGGCTTTTACCTTTCGGCAGTGCCTTAATTGTGGAGAGCAGTTCCGTATGTGTAAACGGTTCGTCCAGTGTGTGTGTTTGGTCGTCTGGGATCTTGCGTGGGAGGTTTGTCGAAATATATTCCCTCAGGTTGTGGGTCTGTACATTTGGGGGGGTTAGGTTATATAGGTTTGTGTAGAAAGCGTTGAACGCCTTGGCTATATCTTCTGTAGTGTTATGTTGTCTACCTGTATCATCTGTTATTTTATCTATGAATGATCTCTGCTGTTTGGCTTTCAGGGCCCTGGCCAATAGTTTTCCACTTTTGTTGCCATGGGCATTAAAAGTGCCTCTTGTCAGTTGAACTGATCTATATACCTTTGCGGTTAGCAGTGATCTTAATTCTATTCGTAGGGCTGTTAGTTTTTAAAAGTTTTCATTTGTGGGATCTTGTTTGTGTGTGGCCTCAGCTGAGTGAATGTCTGCTATGAGAGAATCCATTTTGTGAGTTCGTTCTTTTTTGATTCTAGAACCCCATTTAATGAGGTTACCTCTGATAACTCCTATATGGGCTTCCCAAAGCCAAGGGTCTGATACCTCAGTGTTCCAGTTGTCTATAAAATAGTTATCTACAGTCTGTCGCAGGTTGTCAAGTACTCTGGGGTCATCCAGGAGGGTTTCGTTAAGTTGCCAGTGTGTAGTGGGCTTGGGCTCTTTCTGGAGGGTGACCGTCAGGGATATTGGGGCATGGTCCGACCACGTGATGTTACCTATGGATGCTCCGTGTAATAGGGGGAGGTGTCTATGGCTAATTAGGAACATATGTAATCTGGAGTAGCTTTTGGCTGTCTGAGAGTAATATGAGTAGTCCCTGTCTTGGGGATGCAATATACGCCAGCAGTCCACGAGCTGGTGGGTATGTAAGACATTGGAAAATATCGTTCTTTGGTATTGTTTAGGCTCAGCGGATTTAGAGGAGCTATCAATTGAATGGTCTAGGACCATATTCCAATCTCCGCCCACTAATACCACACCCTCCGCAAATGCGTCCAGTTTGGTCAAACATGACCGTATATAGGGGGCTTGGTCTGCATTGGGAGCTTATATACTCGCTAACGTTATAAGAGTACCATTATATACCCCTTTAACAAACACAAATCTGCCCTTAGGATCAATTTTACCCCCCCTTTTCTGTGAAAGCAGTATTGGAGGCTAGCAGTATCGCTACACCTCTGGTTTTCTTTTGCGTATTTTTACTATAGTATGCTATATTGTTTCGTTTGGAGCGAATTCTTGGTTTAAACTCTCCCCTAAAGTGTGTCTCCTATAAGAAAATTATTTCGGCTCCCTGTCTGTCTATTTCTTGTGCTAACATTGTGCGTTTCATAGGGGAGTTTAGTCCCCGCACATTCAGGGACATTAGTTTAGTTTGGGTCATGATAGTGGTTCCGGCGGCAGAAGCTTATCTGATAAGTCAAGGACTTTACCAGTGGATACTGTGCTTAGTAAGGTGGTAGTGGCAGGGCCAGTGCAGAGGAGGAGAACTGGGGAAAACCATAAACTATTTACACGATTTTGGTATGAGACGGGCCAATCTCGGGTGGCGAGATTGGCGCTGCACTTGTGGGTAACTCTTCGTGTCCACAAGTAGGTTCGAGGCGCCTCTCTGGGGATGGTGGCCGGGACGCCCGACCGGGGGGGTCACAGGGGTCCCATCGGGGCAGTCATGGGTATCGTATAACTTCCTCTTACCCACCTAATCGGAGGGGCTTGTGAGCTAGGCCGCTTAAAGCCATCAGATTTGAATATCGTTATTATTCTCATATTGTATGGCCATAGAGCCGGGTAACGGCAACACTTTAAGTTTCTATATAGAACATAATATAGCATAACAGTTCAATATTGGCAACATGGTGTGCAGAGTACTTAAGTCCGTTAGCATGGCATTCTGAGGTGGATGTGTACGGCATAATATCGAAATATAGAAAAAATAGAACAAAGGAGACATAAGTGTGCAGTTATACGACCGTAACAGTTCTCAGGCTGGTTCTTCCCTGGTTGAAGCCCTCATGTCTGTTCCCGGATGGTTTTGCCTACGCCTTTTCCTCGGGGATCTTTGCCATTTAGGCTTTTGTGGGGTCTGCCTTGTCGGGTTGCCCGCCAGTCCCATCCAGTCCTCCACTTCGGATGGTGGGTGCTTCAGTGCCCTCTGGAATTCGGATACATCCTCTGGTGAGGAGATAGTGTGGGTCTTGTTCTGGAGGTTGACTGTCAGTGCAAACGGGAAGTTCCATCTGAACTTAATTTGTCTCTCAAGCAGGGCCTGTGTAATGGGCCATAAGGCTCGCCTTGCTTGCAATGTGGATAGTGACAGGTCCTGAAATACAGTCACCAAATAGCCATCTACTGTTAAATCTTTGTTTTGGCGGGCTTTGCGGAAAATTTACTCCTTCAAGGGGAAGTTGTGTATACGGCAGATAAGGTCTCGTGGCCTATCGGGAGGTAGGTTTCTGGGCCTGGTGGCCCTGTGGGCTCTGTCGAATGTGATGGCTATATCATTGGGTCTGGCGGTTGAAAAGGGTGGTTAGGACCTGTATGGGGTTTTCTGTGACAACCTCCGCACTTTCCGGGATGCCCCTCACCCGTAAGTTATTTCGGCGCCCCCTGTTATCTACATCCTCCGGTCTCCTTTGTAGGTACCTTATTGCATCTGCATGTGTCTCCTGAGTTATGTAAGAATCAGCCCATTGTTTATAAGTATTCTCTGCCTCTTCCTCTAGGGCCTGCACTCTGGCTCCGAGCTGCTGCACGTCTGCATTCACTGCCTTGAGTTTCTCACTGAAGCTGTCCTCCAGTTTCTGAAACATTGCTGCCAGGTCAGTTTTTGAGGGCAATTGTGTCAGCATTGTCCGGATATCATGTTCCTCTGTGGAGCCATCAGATGCCGTCGGACTTGATGGCTGGCTGCTTCGTGTTTGTGCCGCGGACGCCATTTTGTCCCATCTTTGCGTGTCCGTTTGTTCGCCGAAATATCGTCTCAAGGAGGTTTTAGCTGCCGGTGTATGTGCTGTGGGGGCATTCCCCGTTGCATTGCACTGCTTCTTAGATGCCATTGGAGGTTTATTGTGCCGTTTTCCCCCTATATTTCCCGGTCGGAGCTCAGCGCTCATGCGACCATGTCCTCTGGCTTCCAGGCCACGCCCCTTCTAGACTTGATATTTTAACTCTAGATAAGGAGCTGGTAGTTGGCACAGTGCTGGTTTCAGATCGTGTGTTGGTAGTTGGCACAGTGCTGGTTTTACTGATATCCCTAAATACTGGCTACACAAAAATTGGGTTATTAGAAATTTTTGGACCTGGTCCTGAAACATCACAAGATTCCTTCTCTCGATACAGATCTATTAAAGGAACACTGTAGCTACTATACCAACTTCATATCTGTGAGGTTGTTGCAGTGCCCTAAACATGAGTTTTGTGGTTCTGTTGTATCAGTACAACATAGGGTGAGTTCCAGTTACCCAACAAGCCCTCTGTGTCAAAAAGCTGAGAACCATACTTCCCAGCTCACACCCCGAAAATACCCTAATTTCGGCATGAACAACATAGAAGTAAAGCAATATTTGAGTGGTGAGCGGTCAATTAGCTCACCAAATACTGCATGCATGTACAGTTTCACTTTCAGCTTCTCAGCGTTCAATGATTCTCTAGAAGAATAATTTCATTGGCGAATGGCGAAAAGAGACGTACATATGCATAAGGGCCACAATGTTTCTGAATCAAATGATAATATGACTAAAAGGGGCAGAGGGATTGCTGACTGCACTTAAAGAAAGTTAAGTAGCTCTTTTATTGTAATACATTTTAAACAGTTAAGGAGTTACAGGACTAATACAGAATAAAATACAAACAAATGAATTATTAGAAGACAAGTTAAAATACACAATATGGTGCTCCTTTGAAGGTTGCTGTACATTAATCAAGATGGCTTATTGAAAACCCCAGACATTGCCTCGTTGTATGGTCATTATTTAATGTTATTATACTATTAATTAAACCCCAGATATATAGCACCAGAACAACACATACCTCAATTCAATGACTGTAACTCGTTCCACCAGATAATGTATATTAACGAAATCTTGAATCTGGTAAATAAAAAGGAAAACATATATTTAAAAAAACAGAGATTTTATAGATTGTATAGATTGAATCAATTGTAATAAAAAAATAATAATTCATATTTTGCAAATAGTTCTTCAAACAATAACATTATTAAAAAATAAATAAATCCTCATTCAATTGAGGTCTTGGAGTGTGGCATTATCATATTAGAAGCTAAATAACGAGTCCGGTACGGTCTTAGGGACTTTGACAGTGCTACAACAGAGGTTTGTAAAATACAGATTGTGATCACTTCGATGACGGTTCTACAATACTGATTGAAAGTCAGACATTATCGATTGATACCATTTTGGATTATAATTTCGGCCCTGTATATCTAACTGAAATTCAAACCAACTGATACTGTATCCAAGTCTGTTACTCACCAGTGTTTCAATCCTAGATACCAGCACTCTGTATTCTACTGAAGAAGGATTTTGAAGGCCCTCTGTGTAATTTAAGTTCAGTATTTTCAGTTGTAAAGGGCGCGTTCTGGGGGAAGACGTGCTGGCTGATAAAGTAGAGGATAATGTTGTACTTATTTCAGCTGAAGATGTTGGTGAATGCTTAGGATGAGAAAATGGTGAAAAAGTAAGAGAAGAAATGATGGCTAAAAGCAAAAACAGGACCATATGTACTATTAATATCATACTCACAATTGGCATAGAGTTGGGTTCAGATAAAGAGGTCATGGTTGGCATGGTGCTGGTTTCAGATGAGGAGCTGGTAGATGGCACAGTGTTGGACTCTGATAAGGAGCTAGTAGTTGGCACAGTGCTGGTTTCAGATAAGGAGTTGGTAGTTGGCACAGTGCTGGTTTTAGATGAGGAGCTGGTAGTTGGCACAGTGCTGACTTCAGATAAGGAGTTGGTAGTTGGCCTAGTGCTGGGTTCAGATAAGGAGCTGGTAGATGGCACAATGCTGGATTCAGATAAGGAGCTGGTAGATGGCACAGTGCTGGTTTCAGATAAGGAGCTGGTAGTTGGCACAGTGCTGGTTTTAGATAAGGAGCTGGTAGTTGGCACAGTGATGGTTTTAGATGAGGAGCTGGTAGTTGGCACAGTGATGGCTTTAGATGAGGAGCTGGTAGTTGGCACAGTGCTGGTTTGGGACAGTGAGCTGGTATTATGCACAGTGCTTGTTTCAGATAAGGAGCTGGTAGTTTGCATAGTGCTGGTTTCAGGTAAGGTGCTGGTAGTTGGCACAGTGCTGGTATCTGAAAAGGAGCTGGTAGTTGGCACAGTGCTGGTTTCAGATAAGGAGCTGGTAGTTGGCACAGTGCTGGTTTCTGACAGTGAGCTGTTAGTTGGCATAGTTCTGGTTTCTGATATGGAGCTGGTAGTTGCCACAATGCTGGTTTCAGATAAGGAGCTGGTAGTTGGCACAGTGCTGGTTTCTGACAGTGAGCTGGTAGTTGGCATAGTGCTGGTTTCTGACATGGAGCTGGTAGATGGCACAGTGCTGGTTTCAGATGGTGAGATTGTAGTTGGCACAGTGCTGGTTTCTGATATGGAGCTTGTAGTTGGCAAAGAGATGGTTACAGATAAGGAGCTGGTAGTTAGCATAGTGCTGGTTTCAGATAAGGAGCTGGTGTTTGGCATAGTGCTGGTTTCAGAAAAGGAGCTGGAAGTTGGCACAGTGCTGGTTTCAGATAAGGAGCTGGTAGTTGGCCTAGTGCTGGGTTCAGATAAGGAGCTGGTAGTTGGCATAGTGCTGGTTTCATATAAGGAGCTAGTAGTTGGCACAGTGCTGGGTTTAGATGAGGAGCTGGAAGTTGGCACAGTGCTGGTTTCAGATAAGGAGTTTGTAGTTGGCACAGTGCTGGTTTTAGATGAGGAGCTGGTAGTTGGCACAGTGCTGGTTTCAGATAAGGAGCTGGTAGATGGCACAGTGCTGGGTTCAGATAAGGAGCTGGTAGATGGCACAGTGCTGGTTTCAGATAAGGAGCTGTTAGTTGGCACAGTGCTGGTTTTAGATAAGGAGGTGGTAGTTGGCACAGTGATGGCTTTAGATGAGGAGCTGGTAGTTGGCACAGTGCTGGTTTGGGACAGTGAGCTGGTATTAGGCACAGTGCTTGTTTCAGATAAGGAGCTGGTAGTTTGCATAGTGCTGGTTTCAGGTAAGGTGCTGGTAGTTGGCACAGTGCTGGTATCTGATAAGGAGCTGGTAGTTGGCACAGTGCTGGTTTCAGATAAGGAGCTGGTAGTTGGCACAGTGCTGGTTTCTGATATGGAGCTTGTAGTTGGCAAAGAGACGGTTTCAGATAAGGAGCTGGTAGTTAGCATAGTGCTGGTTTCAGATAAGGAGCTGGTGTTTGGCATAGTGCTGGTTTCAGAAAAGGAGCTGGAAGTTGGCACAGTGCTGGTTTCAGATAAGGAGCTGGTAGTTGGCCTAGTGCTGGGTTCAGATAAGGAGCTGGTAGTTGGCATAGTGCTGGTTTCAGATAAGGAGCTGGTAGTTGGCACAGTGCTGGTATCAGATAAGGAGCTGGTAGTTGGCATAGTGCTGGTTTGGGACAGTGAGCTGGTATTAGGCACAGTGCTTGTTTCAGATAAGGAGCTGGTAGTTTGCATAGTGCTGGTTTCAGGTAAGGTGCTGGTAGTTGGCACAGTGCTGGTATCTGATAAGGAGCTGGTAGTTGGCACAGTGCTGGTTTCTGACAGTGAGCTGGTAGTTGGCATAGTGCTGGTTTCTGACGACGGAGCTGGCAGATGGCACAGTGCTGGTTTCAGATGGTGAGATTGTAGTTGGCACAGTGCTGGTTTCTGATATGGAGCTGGTAGTTAGCATAGTGCTGGTTTCAGATAAGGAGCTGGTAGTTGGCATAGTGCTGGTTTCAGATAAGGAGCTGGTAGTTGGCACAGTGCTGGTTTCAGATAAGGAGCTGGTAGTTGGCACAGTGCTGGTTTCAGATAAGGAACTGGTAGATGGCATAGTGCTGGTTTCAGGTAAGGTGCTGGTAGTTGGCACAGTGCTGGTATCAGATAAGGAGCTGGTAGTTGGCATAGTGCTGGTTTCAGATAAGGAGCTGGTAGTTGGCACAGTGCTGGTTTCTGACAGTGAGCTGGTAGTTGGCATAGTGCTGGTTTCTGAGCCGGTGCTGGTAGTTGACATAGTGCTGGTTTCAGATAAGAAGCTGGTAGTTTGCATAGTGCTGGTTTCAGGTAAGAAGCTGGTAGTTGGCACAGGGCTCGTATCAGATAAGGAGCTGGTAGTTGGCATAGTGCTGGTTTCAGATAAGGAGCTGGTAGTTGGCACAGCGCTGGTTTCAGATAAGGAGCTGGTAGTTGGCACAGTGCTGGTTTCTGACAGTGAGCTGGTAGTTGACATAGTGCTGGTTTCTGATACAGAGCTGGTATTTGGCACAATGCTGGTTTCAGATAAGGAGCTGGTAGTTGGCACAGTGCTGGTTTCTGATGCGGAGCTGGTAGATGGCACAGTGCTGGATTCCGACGGTGAGATTGTAGTTGGCAAAGTGATGGTTTCAGATAAGGAGCCAGTAGTTGGCATAGTGCTGGTTTCAGATAAGGAGCTAGTAGTTGGCACCGTGCTGGTTTCAGAAAAGGAGCTGGAAGTTGGCACAGTGCTGGTTTCAGATAAGGAGCTGGTAGTTGGCACAGTGCTGGTTTTAGATAGGGAGCTGGTATTTTGCATAGTGCTGGTTTCAGATAAGGTGCTGGTAGTTGGAACAGTGCTGGTTTTAGATAGGGAGCTGGTAGTTTGCACAGTGCTGGTTTCTGACAGTGAGTTAGTAGTTGGCATAGTGCTGGTTTCTGATACGGAGCTGGTAGTTGGCACAGTGCTGGTTTCTGACAGTGAGCTGGTAGTTGGCATAGTGCTGGTTTCTGAAACAGAGCTGGTAGATGGTACAGTGCTGGTTTTAGATGGTGAGACTGTAGTTGGCACAGTGCTGGTTTCTGAGATGGAGCTTGTAATTAGCAAAGTGCTGGTTTCTAACAGTGAGCTGGTAGTTGGCATAGTGCTGGTTTCTGATAAGGAACTAGTAGTTGGCACAGTGCTGGTTTCAGAAAAGGAGCTGGAAGTTGGCACAGTGCTGGTTTCAGATAAGGAGCTGGTAGTTGGCATAGTGCTGGTTTCTGATAAGGAGCTAATAGTAGGCACAGTGCTGGTTTCAGAAAAGGAGCTGGAAGTTGGCACAGTGCTGGTTTGAGATAAGGAGCTGGTAGTTGGCACAGTGCTGGTTTCTGATACGGAGCTGGTAGTTGGCATAGTGCTGGTTTCAGATAAGGAGCTGGTAGTTTGCATAGTGCTGGTTTCAGGTAAGGTGCTGGTAGTTGGCACAGTGCTGGTGTCTGATAAGGAGCTGGTAGTTGGCACAGTGCTGGTTTCAGATAAGGAGTTGGTAGTTGGCACAGTGCTGGTATCAGATACGGAGCTGGTAGTTGGCATAGTGCTGGTTTCAGGTAAGGTGCTGGTAGTTGACACAGTGCTGGTTTTAGACAAGAAGCTGGTAGTTGGCCCAGTGCTGGTTTCTGAGAGTGAGCTGGTAGTTGGCATAGTGCTGGTTTCTGATATGGAGCTGGTAGTTGGCACAATTCTGGTTTCAGATAAGGAGCTGGTAGTTGGCACAGTGCTGGTTTCTGACAGTGAGCTGGTAGTTGTCATAGTGCTGGTTTCTGATACAGAGCTGGTAGATGGCACAGTGCTGGTTTCAGATGGTGAGATTGTGGTTGGCACAGTGCTGGTTTCTGATATGGAGCTCGTAGTTGGCAAAGTGATGGTTTCAGATAAGGAGCTGGTAGTTGTCATAGTGCTGGTTTCTGATACGAAGCTGGTAGATGGCACAGTGCTGGTTTCAGAAGGTGAGATTGTGGTTGGCACAGTGCTGGTTTCTGATATGGAGCTCGAAGTTGGCACAGTGCTGATTTCAGATAAGGAGCTGGTAGTTGGCACAGTGCTGGTTTTAGGTAGGGAGCTGATAGTTTGCATAGTGCTGGTTTCAGATAAGGTGCTGGTAGTTGGCACAGTGCTGGTTTCTGATACGGAGCTGGTAGTTGGCACAGTGCTGATTTTAGATAAGGAGCTGGTAGTTGGCACTGAACTGGTTTCAAATAAGGAGCTGGTAGTTGACATAGTGTTGGTTTCAGATGAGGAGCTCATAGATTGCACAGTGATGGTTTGTGATACGTTGCTGGTAGTTGGCACAGTGTTGGATTCAGACGGTGAGCTGGTAGTTGGCATAGTGTTGGTTCCAGATAAGGAGCTCGTAGATTGCACAGTGATGGTTTCTGATACGTTGCTGGTAGTTGACACAGTGTTGGATTCAGACGGTAAGCTGGTAGTTGGCACAGTGGTGGTTTCAGATGGAGTGTTGGTAGTTGGAACAGTGCGGGTTTCAGATATGGAGCTGGTAGTTGACACAGTGCTAGTTTCAGATAAGGAGCTGGTAGTTGGCACAATGCTGGTTTCAGATAAGGAGCTGGTAGCTTGCACAGTGCTGGTTTTAGATAAGGAGCTGGTAGTTGGCACAGTGCTGGTTTCAGATATGGAGCTGGTAGTTGGCATAGTGCTGGTTTCAGATAAGGAGCTGGTAGTTGGCATATTGCTGGTTTCAGATAAGGAGCTGGTAGTTGGCAAAGTGCTGGTTTCAGATAATGAGCTAGTAGTTGGCATAGTGCTGGTTTCAGATAAAGATATGGAAGATGGCATAGTGCTGGTTTCTAATACGGAGCTGCTAGTTGGCACAGTGCTGGTTTCAGATAAGGAGCTGGTAGTTGGCATATTGCTGGTTTCAGATAAGGAGCTGATAGTTGGCAATGTGCTGGTTTCAGATAAGGAGCTAGTAGTTGGCATAGTGCTGGTTTCAGATAAAGATATGGAAGATGGCATAGTGCTGGTTTCTAATACGGAGCTGCTAGTTGGCACAGTGCTGGTTTCAGATGGTGAGCTTGTAGTTGGCAGAATGCTGGTTTCAGATAAGGAGCTGGTAGTTGGCACCCTGATGGTTCCTGATACGTTGCTCGTAGTTGGCACAGTGCTGGATTCAGATAATGAGCTAGTAGTTGGCATAGTGCTGGTTTCAGATAAAGATATGGAAGATGGCATAGTGCTGGTTTCTAATACGGAGCTGCTAGTTGGCACAGTGCTGGTTTCAGATAAGGAGCTGGTAGTTGGCATATTGCTGGTTTCAGATAAGGAGCTGATAGTTGGCAATGTGCTGGTTTCAGATAAGGAGCTAGTAGTTGGCATAGTGCTGGTTTCAGATAAAGATATGGAAGATGGCATAGTGCTGGTTTCTAATACGGAGCTGCTAGTTGGCACAGTGCTGGTTTCAGATGGTGAGCTTGTAGTTGGCAGAATGCTGGTTTCAGATAAGGAGCTGGTAGTTGGCACCGTGATGGTTCCTGATACGTTGCTCGTAGTTGGCACAGTGCTGGATTCAGATGGTGTGCTGATAGTTGGCACAGTGCTGGCTTCAGAGAAGGAAATTGTAGTTGGCATAGAGCTGTTTTCAGATAAGGATCTGGTTTCAGATAAGGAGCTAGTAGTTGAAACAATGCTGGTTTGTGATACCGACTTGGTAGATGGCATAGTGCTGGTTTTAGGCAGTGAGCTGGTAGTTGACACAGTGCTGGTTTCAGATAAGGAGCTGGTAGTTTGCATAGTGCTGGTTTCAGATAAGGAGCTGGTAGTTGGCACAGTGCTGGTTTCAGATAAGGAGCTGGTAATTGGCACAGTGCTGGTTTCAGACAAGGAGCTGGTAGGTGGTATAGTGCTGGTTTTAGATAAGGAGCTGGTAGTTGGAATAGTGCTGGGTTCAGATAAGGAGCTGGTAGTTGGAACAGCACTGGATTCAGATTGTGAGATGGTAGTTGGCACAGTGCTGGTTTCAGTTATAGAGTTGGTAGTTGGCATAGTACTGGTTTTAGTTATAGAGTTGGTAGTTGGCACAGTGCTGGTTTTAGTTATAGAGTTGGTAGTTGGCATAGTACTGGTTTTAGTTATAGAGTTGGTAGTTGGCATTGTGCTGGCTTCAGTTATAGAGTTGGTGGTTGGCATTGTGCTGGTTTCAGTTATAGAGTTGGTAGTTGGCATAGTGCTGGTTTTAGTTATAGAGTTGGTAGTTGGCATAGTGCTGGTTTTAGTTATAGAGCTGGTAGTTGGCATAGTGCTGGTTTTAGTTATAGAGTTGGTGGTTGGCATTGTGCTGGTTTCAGTTATAGAGTTGGTAGTTGGCATAGTGCTGGTTTCAGTTATAGAGTTGGTAGTTGGCATATTACTAGTTTCATTTATAGAGTTGGTAGTTGGCATAGTGCTGGTTTTAGTTATAGAGTTGGTAGTTGGCATAGTACTGGTTTCAGTTATAGAGTTGGTAGTTGGCATAGTGCTGGTTTCAGATACGGAGCTGGTAGTTGGCACAGTGCTCTTTTCAGATGCTAAGCTGGTATTAGTTGACATGGTGCTGTATTTAGATTTGAAGGTGTTAGTTTGAGTATTGCTTGTTTTGGGTGAATTTGTGGTTGATAATATTTTCACACCTTTTGATGAAATACAAATCAGAAATTAAATAATTATGGCTTTTTTTGTGAAGAATTAGTTAATTGTACTAACAGTAACATATATTCTAGATTTATTTTTATTATTTATTTTTTAATATATTTAGTGTTTATTTTGAGTTTAATTCTTTTCTAATCTGTGCTTTTTTTATTTTTGGAAATCATTTAGTACTAGAAAGTGTCTATTTTCTCATTTATTTTCTCTTCATTTATGTATGTGGCGGGACCGCTGCCTGTTCGTGAATTGCTGTGTTATATTCTGTGTATTTCTCTGTATTTTTCGTATGAATGTGCCTGCTCCCCGAAGGGAATGCATTCCTCTCCCGAACATGGAACACCTTGACATCTCATTTAGAATGTTGGTTTAGAGGGTTCGCACCTCGTAATAAGGTGTCAAAACCACAAACCGCAAGGGAAGCCTCAGCGTGTGCCTCCCCTGGGTGGCGGCCCGTTTGTTATACAAATTCCATCCAAATCAATTAGAACGTTGGCAACTTGCAACATAAGTGAGAAAAAGCAAGGGAAGTAATTAAGGAGTGCTTCCCTGGGTGGCCGCCATTTGTATGGACGAGCAGCGGCTATGGGAAGCATTCGTTTCCTGAAAGGAGATGCTTCCCTTGCCTGGTTTCACTCAGGGACACCACGAGTGGAGGCGGTTACCATTCTGGGGGTCCCTGAGATTGGTGGGGACACCCTTTGGGGACAATGGCAGTTTTGCGGGCTTTCTGTGACTGGGAGTCCAGGAGGCGGGAAGCTTTTCCGCGCTGGGGCTCCCAGGTATAGAGGCTCATGGGATGAAGACCCCCTGGTCACCAGAGGTTAGAATGCCTGAGGATGGGTGGCAGGAACAGGGGCCAAAGGGACTGAAGTTCTGTTTGTGTCAAGAGACCCCTGAGAAGGGGGGGGGGGGCTGGGAGGGGATACTGAGTGGTGGGAACAGGGGACAAAGGGATTGGGGTTCCAGTTCTGTTATGCGACCCCTGGGAGGGGGAGGACCTTGGGAGGGGACATTGTTGTTATATGTGATCCACCCCTTGCATGGGGAAAGTATAAAGCCGAGTGTGGCCAATAAAGTTGTTGTTGTACCCCCAGGACTGTGTGTCGTCCAGTTACTAGGTGGGAAATGGGTCTCTCCGTACTATAACTGGTTCCCTTCCTGGGACAATTTGTTGCTGAACAAGGACAACCGGGCTAGTTGTCAGCAGGCCCGCTACAATTAACATATTTAATTATTTTTTTATTTTTGATTTTGTGCTTGAAGTAAAGCAGTCATACAGAAAGCCTATTGGTGAGAATTTCAGACAAACGGTATATGTTTTGAGTGCTCTCAGTTGTGCCCTCATCTTAAATGTCTATAAATACAGTGTCTGTGGAATGGGTCAAACTTTCGTTGTCTATTGTCTGGTGGAGTCCACATTTGACTTCAAAAAGACCTGTCCAAATCTCTTTGTCTGAGAGATGCTCACTTTTGTTACAGTATATTTTTGCCCTTTAAGTCCATTTCTGTTCACCAAGAAACTGATATACAGACATATTTTGCCAAGCATTCAGTAAAAGATGTAAATATTAAAAAATGTTTTCAATAAAATGTCTCATGGTTAATTTTATTTCTTGTTAAAATAAATATATGTGTGCCATATAGAACTATTTTTATTTCAGTAAAGACTTTTTCTTGATTGGCGTTTTTATGTATTTTACATATTTCAGTTACTAAAGCTTCAGTCTCATATAATTTCCTTCTGCCTTCTAAAATGCCTTGTGCATGCTTTCTAAAAAGGCATATAGACCAAACCCACATGGAGAGACAAAACTTAACAATCTCAAAAGCTAGGTGCAAACTACATAGGCACTCACTCAAGTGCTCAACCAAAGCAATCTATATAAGATACAGAATGCACAATATAACAATCACAATAAATAATATAAATCTTTAATGAGTATACATAAAAAAATAAATACAAAAAGAAACAAAGTAACAGGATAAGACAAACAGTAATCCAAAGAGTAAATTACCTAAATCTCACAAGCTTCAAGACACCCTTGATAAAGGCAACCAGTAGGTGCCGACACATTGGGGTGATTGGTGGCTCGTGTTTCTGTCTTGAGGCTTGTGAGATTTAGGTAATTTACTCTTTGGATTACTGTTTGCCTTATCCTGTTACTTTGTTTATTTTTGTATTGATTGTTTTATTTATATTTATTAAAGATTTATATTATTTGTTGTGATTGTTACAGTGTGCATTCTGTATCTTATATAGACTTTTTAAAAAGGCACACACAAGGCATTTCATGCAAATTAACTTCCTGTGATACAATTTATTATGTCATAGTGCATGTGCCACACATTTTCCCAGATTTGCCAGTCAATAACCCTCTGGCAGTAACGGGGAATCATCGAAGTCATCCAAAAGCTTGTCCAGCCACTGTCCAGGTGGAGGAGTAGGAGACGAGTGTGGACATTCACGTGGATTGTCTCACCTGTAGCTTTTCACTCACTCATTCAATTGTAATGTATTATTATCTTAATATTTAAAATAAAAAAGCAAATTACATATTAAAAAAATGAAATAAATAGAAACATTTATAATCTTGAATTAACTATATTCCTAATTCAAACATGCTATTTATCCTTCAAATATGAATTTCCTGTAATAATAATTCATGCCTAGAGTGTACTGGAAGTATGAGTTTATTGTAGTTCGTTAATACATGTCACTAATTGAACATACATGTGAATAGGGCACGACAAGCCTCTTACCATTTATCTGTACACTGGAAGGATGCACGACAAACTGTCCCAACGAACTGTTTTTCAAAGCTTCAACAAACACTCTAATGAGATCTTCAGTGACTGGAACATGCGTCATATTGGCAAAAGTTATGATTATATCCACCAGTAGCGATCCTTTACTGAAATAAAGTAAGATTATTACTGAATTGGCCCATCTGGCTCCTCCATTTATAGAGACATTATGTATACATATACCTATATACATATTGTATTCACATATATATTACATATTAGACACATGCATTCGGTCTCCAAAGAATCTAGATTCATTAAAAAAAATTGAGAATTGGTGGTTGTTCCAAAATCCAAAACTCTGAATCACAAAACAAATTAAATGGACAAAACCATTTAGTTTGGAAAGTGATTCAGAGTTCCATCCATGGTGCAAAAAAGTTGGGTAGCTATGGGTCGTCTATTCCCCCCTTAAAATGAAATACAAAACTACCTACCCCCTCAACCTAATAGCAAAGGGGTCATTAAACTAATACCTGTACTAAAAATATATATATATATTTACCATCTGAAATGTTCTTTCTTGTAAACAACAGAAAAACATTGTAGACGATGCAACTATTAAAAAAAAAAAAAAAAAAATCTGAAGAAAAAAAAAAGATATGCCCTGAATTAACTATTTGAACACATAGGAACATACATCCTATACGTTCAAATATAGGTTAATTCAGGGCATATATTTTTTGTCTTCAGTTGTAATTCCACTAAGGGTTAACCCCTTGTCCCATATACCCTAAACATTGATCTTTGAGCTCTCTTTCTTATGAAAAAAAAAAACCCTGATTCCTAAAAATAAAATTATGGAAGAAGATTAAATCCATAATGGGGAAAAATAAATCAATCTCACCCTGCGAGGGTTCCGTGCCAAATGAGGCTTCAAGGTGGGAAAAGGCTTCCCCACCCCTTAAATTCTCATTAAGAGCGCTCTGATTGGTTGGCTGCACCTCTCTTAAAGGCAAAAAACATTGCGTGATTTTTTTTGAATAATTTAATTTTATGGGTGTTTTTTTGTATTGAAAAATGAAGCATTTATTTTTAACCTGAAACTAGCATCTGCTTGTGAAGTTCAAAGAACCTCTGATACAGATATCTCATGGTTGGCATAATAGACTGGTAATGGTACTTTGGCCTGGGGTGGAGATGAAATAACGATTGTGAATAATAATTCCATTAGATAGGGTCCATGTAGCTATTGTTCTCAATCTACATTGCCTCCCTTGGTAAACTCATCAACACCTTCGGCTTCCAGTATCATTTCTATGCAGATGACATGCAAACGTATCTGTCCTCTCTTGATTTCTCACCACCCCTCTTGACTCGTGTCTCTGATTGCCTTTCTGTTATTTCCAACTGGATGGATGCTCATTTCCTTAAAACTGAACCTGCCCAAAACAGAACTTCTGGCCTTCCCTCCCTCAAGTGTTGCAACCCACTTGTCTGTGTCCCTTCAAGTTATTGATGCCAGCAGTAGCTCTACCTCTCAGGCTCACTGCCTAGGTGTTCTCTTTAACTTCAACCTCTCCTTCACCCCTCATGTCCAAATAATAATTGTGGTGGACCGCCTGGTACCTCACCTGGGTACCTCCGCCAAACGTGCCTCCTAGTTATCACCGAGCTACCATAAGCACTTCGCTG